TGCACATGCCAAGCTGCCTGACGTGTTTCCCCTTGTACAAAGACAACAGGCACAGCACCAGGACCAGGAACACCACAGGGAAAAGACTTAAGAAGCAAAACGGTGCAGGTGCTCACCCCCACAGCTGTTCACATATGTTCATATATACTAGTATATGTGTGTAATTTCTCCACTGCTGATCACTATCATCTTATCAGAAAGCGCTGGTACTGTAGTCAGCTTCTCAAACACCAGACTGAGCCCCAAATGACATCAATCAGGCCCCAGGCTGCATTTATGTGCACAATTCCACCTCTGATGTAAACTTTTGATGTTGGCAGCGTGAGAAATGAAAGTAGTCATGTAGTTTTAAATAGCCTGGTCATTAAACATCCAGTATAGATTAGGTAACATTACTGCTGTTAGGATACTGCTCTGTACTGGAAGAGCATGTTTGAGACCCAAGTTTGATCCTCAAGGAAATAATTAATATAAAATGATTAATATAGGATTTTATACACACACACATATATATATATATATATATATATATATATATATATATATATATATATATATAAGAACTGATAACATGAGCAGATAATTGTGGAGACCATTTTCTACAGTGGCAATGTCTGTCTTACTTAGATTTATTGTTATGGATTAGATTGTTCATATAATAATTATAATTAAAAATGCTGAAAAAGTAAGTTAATTTTAGGACTGCATGATCCAAGAAAAAAAAAATCGAATTGGGTTTTTGTAACAAGCATTGCGATGCGATTATATTTTTACAATTTATGTTTTAATAATATAATTTTGTTCATATTTCACGTCCAGGAGAATTGACTAAAAGACTGAAATACGAACTGACAAACTAATACAAGAATCACATATCTGAACATGTTTGTACAGATCTAAACTACAAGGTTAGCAGTTTTATGCAGAATAATACAATGCAGTTAGTTGTTTATGGAGGAAATTATGGTACTAATTTTGCGAATACATTCATGTCAAATTGCGATTTCAGTTCAATTCAGTTTCGATTTCCACGTATAAAAATAGTCTGTTTGTTTGTATAACCTTTTCTTAGTCATGGCTTTTTTGCATTCTTTCATTATAGTTTTTTTTTTTTTTTTATTTCAAATGTATTTATTTTGCTTAATAAAACTATTTGAGTAGCAGTTTAGTAGGAGAAACTTGATTTAGTTTTTGAAATACAGAATTTAAAGATGACCCAAATGTAACCCCATGACCTGCATTTGGGGCAAGCTAACCACAAATTTAAGCCACCACTTAACAACATATGTATTGCAAAACAAAGGAAAAAGTTCAACAGACGTACTGTTGCTTTTTCCAAGTAATGTAAAACACGAAAATGAATTGGCTATAACAGGTAAAAACATGCCTGCTCCTTATAATAATATTTCTGACCACTTCATTTCCAAAGCAAACTGAAGGGAGTGAATGTCACACACACAGACAGTGCAAGGCCGACCTGCTCTGCTCATGTGTCTGTGGTCAGATGTGCCTGGGTCTGTCTCCAGCCAACTATAACAGCAGCCGCTCCACTGAAGCAGGAAGCAATCACTTCTGCACCAACTATTGACTATTGAGAGGCGTCAGTCATGCTCACAGCGCCGAGGATGTCGCACAGTGTGAGGCCTTTGAACTCACAATTTGTCACAATTTTCTAAACTTTTTTTTTTCTAAATTATTAAACAGATCAAAGATGTAAAAATTCAAGCAATTTTATTTCTGTGGGCAAATGTGAAAGCAATTTATGCAATGAGTTTTGGAGCTAAAAAGCAAGGATATGTATAAAAAGTCACAAAGTAAGCCTCAAAATAATAATAGCATATGGGTGTATAATTATTAAATATTTATTTTTAGTGAGAAACACACACAAATGTTTTATTGTTTGACTACATCATCACAAACTGCCAATTGCTGGGATTTTTTCATTAATGCTTATTGTTTGTATATTAAAATACTATTATCAAAACACATTTTTAGACTATGTTGTATGGATAAGTACAAACAGAGTAGTGTTTCTTTGCATTAGTTTTTATTTTAAGTTAATTTACTTTTTTGTATTCAGGCTCCCAATAAAAATGCAAACATGCAACTATTTATTGAATTGTTGTTGACAAGCCCTAACACTATTATAATTATTTTACATTTGCATGTTGTTGTTGGTGTTGGTGTTTGTTAAATATTTGATTCTTATTTGTCTAATGTGTATGCTCCCTGCCCTGGTCACATGATCACTTGTGACAGGGGTCGTGAAAGGTCAAGTGGGGTCACGAGCAGTATCCTGACGTCCTGCCCGTCTAATCACCTGTTTATTTATGTAATGACCAAACCTGGACTGAACCTGAGTGAAAGTGAAAGTAAAGCAGAAGGCTGATGAAGTTTGTCTTTGATTCTATCTCATGTGATACTGTGGCTCGTCTCAAGTCTCTTACTTTAATTCTTCTGTTTATTTTACATTTTGGGAGATCTGATCTGTTCAATATACATATGGCACATTTTACAGAAATGATTGACATGACATTTAGAACTGTTCATGGACTGCCAAGGCACATTGCTTAGTGTAACAAAAACACAGACTTGTTCTAAAAATAAATCTTTTGAATGAATAAGTTTTTAGTTTTCATTCACTCAGATGTGTTGTGGATTTTGCCTTAGCCTGTGCACATAATTTGACAGTTGTTGTTGAAAAGCAAAATCAAGCCTACACCACATTTAAAGTATCTCTTTAAATCATTTAATTAGTATTTACTTATTTTTGGAGAGGGTTTCAAACAACTTTAGCATTATGCTGTAGTGGGACAGAAAAAGTTTCTAATAAGACAAGTACTGTAAAAAGCTAAATTGCTTGTTTATCGCACATGTTTCAGCGGAACCTACAAGCAATTCAGGTTTTTTACAGTATTTGTTATATAAACAAAACCCAAATTTTGTTATAAAAAGAAGACAACATGAATTTTCGAAGCATAATATGTGTGTAGATTTTGTTGGTCTTCAAGTTTCCTGCTAAATTAGCCCATACAACAGACATTTTGCTTACAAATAAAAAATGTGTACAGTCATAACTTCAAGAACAAAGTTGAAAAAATAATTAAGGGGGAATATTGGAAAGCAGCACAGTGAAACTTCTACATAATTCAGAGCATTGACCAAAAAGGGATAGCTGCCAGGTTCAACTATCTGCTGAATGAAAAACATCACAATCATTGGGTATTTGTAACCGTTTATTTGTTAGCGTATGGCCCACAAAAAAGTCAGATATGTTGTAAAGGCTTTGTTATGGACTTAATTTTGTAGCAGATAAAACATACTGGGAATGTCCCAGAAGAGATATTTGATATATCATTCAAAATGTATATCTTATATTCTGAAAGCATCACATAAAACATTGTATGCACATCTTGGAATAACCACAAAAAAAGAGTGCTGTGGGTTGTTGCTGCCCTCTTCTGGAATCAATGCTCAAGTTATAGCGTCCTCAAAGTTGTATTTACTGCTGAGTACCCCTAAGGGGAGCTAGATTACAGATAAAGCAGCCCACTGAAACCAGTATTGACTGAAAGTGTGCAAAGGCTGTTTTGATACTTGCTCCACTAGTTTATTTGATTTGTCTTTTTTTTTCTATGGTAAATGAGAGAGTTGGGGTGGGTGGGTTAAGAAATAAGTTTCAAGATAAAATTACATGTAGTATACCTGACACTGATTATATGCAAAAAAAAAAAGTATTTTTATCCAATAAAAATAGATGAAATTGGAGAAACTATGTTAGCAGTGTGTAAAATGCAAAGCACTCATTTGCAACAGTCACAGACATTCTCAGTTCACCTACATTTGAATATTATAATACAATCTAAAACGACATCATTGAATGTCTTGTTGATATGGCAAACTTTATTTGTCAGAACAATGAGAAAATTGCATGAAATGTTTCTCTTATGTTTGTCCTTGTCAAACATTTGACCTCATTATCATTAACATACTGTCTTGCAGCATTTCTTCCAACACAATTGCTCTAGGCTATTTCTGTTACCAAAGTAAGAACATAAACTTCTTGCAACATTTCCAACAAAAGTGTTATGAACCCTAACCTTATTAACCCTATTCTCTCACACTTAAACCCACATCACTGAACCCACATCACTAAAGCTCTTTTAAAGCAGTCAGTTTTCTTTGTCTGTTGAATATTTCATGCCTAACAGGTAGCAAGAGGCTCAGGTTGCAGGGGAATGAGTGACAATCAGACAGGAGGCATCCAGAGAGCTACTGAATGGGCCACTGCTGCTGATTATAAGATATTTATATAAAATGAAATATGAGACCAAATGCTGCACTGTAATAAATGGGGCAGCAGGCTGCATTTTTAATTGTAAGGGAAAATGACATTTTTAGTTTGAAATTAAAAGCCCTGATTTCACTTTAAATAATGTTAGCAGTTATAGTATAGTTATTGTCATATATATATATATATATATATATATATATATATATATATATATATATATATATATATATATATATATATATATATATATATATATATATATATATATATATATATATATATATATATTAGTTGCAAATTTGTGTTTACTTTAAACACAACACAATTTAACAACATAAAAAGGTTTCAAAAGGAGCGCCCAGCTGTTTGTCCCCTGAGGAAAGACATAGGCTTAATGTGTCAGGACTTTGTAAGTTGTCCATTAAGGCATGCCGTAAATTAATAAAGGCTTTTTATTTTGACCGGTGAGTGCCTTGGGTTATTTGCATCTTTACAATTTAAGATTTTAGAGAATATGTTCAATATTTGAGGGCAAACTGTTTAGCACATGGAATTTTATATATTAATGTCAATGTAACATGATAAATAAAACATGTTTTGTTATGTAAATATATGTTTGCTTTGAAACTACACTGTGATCTGTGTTAAACAGTTGAGTGCTCTTTAGACCTACCTTCTTTGAGCGCAGGCTCCTCCCTTCTCCTGTACACCTGCATAAAGCCTCACCTGTCCCATCAGCAGCACAGAACCCGCTGCATTCCTCTGGATCCCACATCACCTGCAACTAAAGACGAAAGTGGTGAGTTAGATTCATTTGTTGTTCATTTGTTGACATTATTATGATCCTACACAAATTTGAATAATTTCATGTTCAGTGTTAGATAGTAAGTAGAAAGGAGTACTAAAGGTGCACTGGGTGTTTTTTTATGTGTTTTTTTAAAATCTTATGAACATACATATTCTTGTTCACATTTACCGTCATCACATCTACCCTTCAGATAATGCATCATGGATTGAGATATCAAGCTCACGTCCGCCTCTCTCACTCCCTGTATCCCTGGCATCCACTTTGAAACATTTTTCCAATCATTTCCCAAGTCTTATCTTTCATGTGAACAACGAGCGCCTGTCTAGTGTAGGGTCCTTTGTAGTGTTGTGGGAACGTTGCAGTGAGGATCAGGTAACATCCAGACAGAGAGGTTCCCTTGACCGCTAATCTGCCAATGGGACACACAGCGACATGCACTAAGGGACAGACATGGTTCACTGATAAACACAGAATGAATGGGTGTCAGACATTGCTTAAACTGTTTACTTAATTGTATAGTACATCTTTGGCATGGAGACATTTGAATGTTTGACCTTATGTTGCTCTTTTAAGATATTCAATTGTCACTAGTCAGCCATACACTCATTTGAAGACAACTTTTCTCATCTCAGTGGGATTTATGGGTCCAGATTAATAGGGGCTGCTTGTACGTCTGCTAGAATAAAATGCATTTATTCAAGAGCTGCAAAAGAGCTTTTCCTCAGCCATGTAACACTAGCTCTAAATTACAATCGTGGTCGAGTTGTCTGGCTTTTGAAGTGATGTATTCTGGTTATGGCATTTGCTATTTCAACAATCATCCCCTCATGTTTCAGAAGTGGTCTAATACATTTAACAGCTGTTATTCTAACACTCTATTCATCTCCTTATAGGTTTTATCTGTTAGGAAGTAGTGAGAGTATTATCTTCTAAGATGTAAAGTACAGGTGTGGAGGTTCAGACAAAGTGGTACACTATGTAGCTGCTTTTCTAGTGGAGATTTATTTATTTTTTGGTTGGAATATTCCACAGTATGACATTTAAGTTCTGTCTATATGCATGTATTAAATTAAAGGTGTTTGATTGCTCAAAAATACCTTGAAAAACCTACATTCGAATGGAGTTGCCTGTCCATAGATATAATCTATAACTTGGCCTGGTGGCAAAACCTGTTTAGAGATGGAGATAGATAAGTGGAATACAATACTGTGGAACAGTCCTAGCAAAGCAATAACATCAAAGAGACAAGCATGTGACCGAGTGCTGTTCATCCCTCTTATCCCCTAAGGCAGCTCCATCATGGCCTCCAGCATGTCCATGAGGAACTTCTCTGTGACCCGCCAGCCCTCCTTCTCCTGTCGCTCTCTGATGGACACCGGACGTGCCCGCTCCAGAGCCTCAGTCTCCTTCACTGCCAGCCCACTGACCCGTTCAGCTTCCATTGGCCAAGATTTAAACGGCCCAATCAGCCTTCAGCTAAATGGACTCCATGGCAACAGCACCAATGAGAAGGAGGCCATGCAGAGTCTGAACAATCGCCTGGCCAGCTACCTGGACAAGGTCTCACACTGTAAAACTATTTAAAGACAGCCAAATAGGCCACAGGGGTATCAGGTTTAGAGACTAGGATTTCTTAACACCAAACAAGAACAGTTTGAGCTTTTAAATATGTGTATCTTTCAATACTAAATGCTTATCTATTTCCATTGGGCAATTGGAGCTTCACGTCAAGAAACCATTCATAGACACATTCATACATCACTTACCCCTTTTTGCTCTGTCCTGTACAGGTGCGTACTCTGGAACGCTCCAATGCAGACCTGGAGAGTAAGATCAAACAGCTGATGCTCGACCGCATCCCTAAAGGTCACGACCTCGACTCCATGATGGCTCAGGCTCATGCTGTTGAACAGGAGGTATGCATCTAGAAAAATCATACAGGAAGATAACATTATCAACATGAATTTTTGAGATTATGACATTCAATAATGCACCATTTTTATCTGAAATGACCACAACAAATATAATCTCTTTGAAATACCAATATTCATCAACTTATGTCTATACTTCTCAAACTGGACAATGACATCTTAATCAGAATATAATATTGTATTGAATAGTACTGTATTAGGCACATTTTATACTGATACTATAAAGACAAAGAGGGCACTGTTGAAATGTTTCTTTTCTCCCTCTGACTGTGTTAATATTTGTCAGGTGAGGAAGAAGACCTTGGAAAATGCCCGTCTCATGTTAGAGATTGATAATGCCAAACTGGCTGCGGACGACTTCAGAATCAAGTAAGTTCAATTATTACACTGACTAGGTAACACAGTAAGGTTTATAGTAGTGCTTTCATGAATAATGAGAAACTTGTTGTGAGGGGAATAGATTGTATTGATTGGAGACTGATAACAGTGCCATAGAAACTCATTACATTGTTAACTTTTGAGGTGGGAGACTGAGCTGGTGATGTGTCAGTCTGTGGAGCGAGATTGTGTGGCTCTGAAAAAGGCCAAAACAGACCACGAGCAGATCATCGCCAGCCTTAGAGGAGACCTGGACAGCCTGAAGGAGGAGCTCTACTTCCTCAAGAAAAACCACGAGGAGGTCAGCCAATCACCTCTTTCACATTTATCCAGAACTAGATATCTACCTGACCCACTTAGAGGCACTCAAGAGGTCCTTTACAGAGTCGAGCAGAGTGGGAGGGGAGTGGGGGGAGTGGCCTTAGAGTTACTACCAACAAAAGAGATCTGGTTTCCGACACCTGAAGGCTCTGTCCAATCAGCTGGTGTGAGGCGTTCTGTCTACTGTCCTCTGGGGGTAAAATACACCAAAGACATTTTCTCTGTGTGACAATTGACAATGCCTTACATGTCAAGATCTACAAAGAGATACAAAAGAGAAGTTATAGTACTATTGAATTATGTATTTCTTTATATATTATATTTCTAATGTATATATTCATTGCTTTTTTACTGTAGGCTAATTCTGTCTCTAAATTTCAACTAAAACTTTAATAGACTTCATTGTCATCAATCCAATTTATAGAATGTGCTGAGTTATAGGCTGCGCTTCCGTTCTATTCATTGATAAAGAAGGTCAAAACCTCCTATCACATCCATCATCTTGTTTCTATTATTTCTAAACATGTCACCGTACTGGGGAATGCTTGTAGATACACAGTCCTTATGCACCACTTTGTTTCTATTCCTTCTATAAAATGTATGTCAGCGCTTCTAAATGTATAGCTTGACTTCTTTTTCAAACAAAACAGCACCTTTGGGATTAGAAGAGAAATTGGATCTCAGTGTGTTTCCCATGTATACAGTTTCTGCACAAGTTTCCACCACTGTGCATAACCGTATGCATACGTGTAGTTTAACTATATACCTAACTATAAACCAAAGGGAGAACCATGCATAGCCTATAAACCAGATCCTATAACACTGAGACATGACATAACATCTGTCACAAAGAGAGAGTGAAAGAGAAGCACAGAGTGTGCCCGACCCATGGACCGACTCAATGTGGGGGAGCCAAAAGGCCAGGGGTAAACTGAGCTCGCTACCATTAACTATTGATGGAAACGGTCTAAATAATGAAAAGATCACCACATCCTTCAAGCCACCACATGGTGTAGGGTTTATACAAATGTTCATCAGGACATGTGTTCTGCACATTCAGCAGAAAGCTAGCCTAATCAGCCACATGTTTTATTTTTCTGTTCAAGACATATTTTCCTGAAGTTGTGAAAAATGCATCCTGAATCATTTTAATTTGAAAAGCAAGAAACTTTTGGGATCACACCTATTTTATATATATGTACATATGTACATATATACATATACATATATGCACCTGCTTTAGCCTACTTCACTGTGTCGCTTTCATTACTGCGTAATGCAATGACTCTAAAAATGTATTATGTATAATGTATTTCATTGCTCCTACAAGCTAGCTAAACTAACTAACTGCTATAAAGTAGAAAGCCATACCATGCTATAAACTAGTATAAAGCTTATTTCAAATGCCTGTTTTTTTTTTTTTTTTTTTTTTTGTAGGAGATGGAACAAATGAGGTCTCGCATAGCCAGAGATGAGGTGAATGTGGAGGTGGACACAGCTCGAGGACCAGAGCTGGGCACTATTCTGTCCGACCTGCGCAATCAGTATGAAGGAATTGTCAAGAAGAACAAGGAACAGGCCGAGCAATGGTACCGCAAGAAGGTCAGATATACATGATACAACATTATATGCTCACATGCATCTAGTGTGTCAATCCTGTTGCTGTAGCAGTCATCCTTAAGTTATTCAGATACTGCATTGTGTTGTGTTGGCACTAGCTGGATACAGTGCAGAATGAGGTGAAGGAGAGCAACGAGGCTCTGAGAGGGGCCCAGTGCGAACTGACTGAGAGGCAGCGCTTCCTACAGACTCTGGAGGTGGAGCTGGAAAGCCTACACAAACAGGTAAGAACAAAATGTAGTCACCAATTATCTGTTAGTACAGAACAATTTTACCAGTAGTTTAAGTCTCGTGTCAAGTTTTTAAGCTAACACAATAATGCTCAGTTTTGAGAAATGACCAAGAGGGAATTTGTTAAAAAAAATTATTACTTGAAAATGTAATAACAAAATTTCAGTGTGTTGCATAGACAATTGGCTGGTGATTTAAACCTGGTGAGAGTGATGACTGTCATCATTTGCAGTTCAAATTTCTTCCCTGTTGCTATCATTTATGGGAGAAAACTCTCAATCTGTTTCTGTCTTGTAATCCCTTGTTGACAGTAAACAGGCTCTCCCACACTGATAACTCATCCAAACACAGGCACGATAGAGTTCCTAAATTGTACAGGGATGATGCACACACTGATATGGTTTGTTTTGGATGCCAAGGTCCTGTTATGTCACATATAATGAGATAAAAATACTTTGGGAAGTCATTTTCATTTCATCAGGGTTTTTATGGTTTAGTTTCAATGGGAAAACAAAGAAGAATGCTCATCCTTGCTGCTCATGTGAGACCAGGTTATGAAATATAAAAGGATAGATCACCCATTTCACAAAAATATAGTTAACATCATTGTATTTAAGATTTTACTAACAATATTACCTAGCTTTTCTTCTTTTAAAAAAAAAAAAAAATCATTCTTATTTGTGAGGTTAACATGAAACACAACTTAACATGAAAATCTGTCATAGGCGCCATGTGCCAGTATGAGGACAGCTTTAATAAAAAGTTGATCTGGTGTTTGTTTAGATTGCAGCTCTTGAGGGGAACCTGGGTGACGCGGGTCAGAAGTACTCCTCTGAGATGGAGCGTCTGCAGTCCACTCTGACCCAGCTGGAGGACGATCTTTCTCAGCTCCGACTGGAAATGCAGCGCACCAAAACTGACTACGAACAACTGCTGCGCATCAAGCAGAATCTGGAGATGGAGATCGCCACCTACAGGCGCCTGTTGGAAGGAGAGGAGACGTGAGTGACTGTCCATAGGAAGATATTACTGATCATTATTCTTTTTCTATAAAAGCAAAATAAAAACACTAATTTATGTATTGAGTCTAGACCTAATCTTCGTGCGTTATATAAACACTTTTGGTATTTATTCATGATGACATTTAATAATTAAATGTTTTATTGATTTAATATTTCAAACTTTTTAAGTGTGCTGTTTTTTTTTTTGGATAGGATGAAGGAAGTTCCACCCCCTAAAAGTGAGTACCTATCCTGTAAAGGTAGAGGTGAACTCTGCTTAGTGCTTTAATATGTTTAGCTCAAATAATGTTTTTATGGTTGTAAAATATACAAGTTGACAGGATGTATATAAAATTGTATAGCTATAATTAAAATTACATAATTTTATGTAATTATGTAATTACATAAAATTATGTAATTACATAATTACATAAGGCTTGGGAGGCTTTGGAGAGGAAGTACTTTTTTCTATATTTTGGAATTGATTATCCACCATAACATTCATATGTCCTAACTAACTTCCTTGTTTTGCAGAGGAGCCTGATGTTCGTACCAGGAAGATTGTGAAGGTCGTGACACAAACAATGGTTAATGGAAAAGTGGTGGATGAGTCTAGTGAGGTGGAACAAATTGAGGAGACTAAGAAGTAGAATATATTTAACAGACAATGTTAGATAAGTCAGCTGAGGTCTTATACAAAACACATTTGCAACAGAATTAAACCTTGTTGTTGTATGTATGTTGTTTTAAGAACGTTATAATTTTGTGTTTTTCCTTCAAAGTTGTGTTACTAAAATACATGTGCTTTATTTATGTACAGAAACTTGTACAACTTTGGAACAAAAATATAATGGATCAACTTTTACTACATGTACTACCATGATATACTGTGGTATGATTACTTTAGTTTATCATAACCAATAGGCTTTACGTGGTCATTTTAAAAGTTAATAGTTTTGTGTTGGTACCTTGAATAAAAATAACTTAAATTCCAATCACTTGCAGTTTTTATTTGTAAATTAAATACTAGTTTGAAATATTATAAGCATAATGGAACTTACTGGTACAATATTAAAATGTGTTAGTCACTTTAAGGAAGGATAATACTAAGGTTAATCTCAAAAAGCAAAGTACATCTCTCTGGAGGCTGTCTTACTTAATACATGTCTTCAGTTAAAATATCACAAAATATTGAACTAATTAGTAATATTATCGGACACACAATACGATACATGTTTTGTTACCTTTAAACATGATAAATTATAGTGTTATGTCTAGTTTTACATTTTCTTGTAAAATGCATGCAAGAAAATGCATTGAATAAATCATTTTCACACGAAAATGTAATCACTGCACAAGGTTACTCCTGGAGGAGGCATCTGGATCCTTGGAAGATGTTCTGGGCATGTCTCACCAGAAGGAGGCCCCACGCAAGACTCAGGACACACTGGAGGGACTATGTCTCTCAGCTAGCCTGGGAGTGTCTCGGCGCCCTCCTAGAGGAGCTGGAAGAGGTGTCTGGGGTGAAGAAAGTCTGGGAGTCCTTGCTTAGAAAGCTGCCCCCGCAATCCGGCCCTGGATAAGCGGAACAAAATGGATGAATGGATCAGAATCACTAAATGCCAATGTGATTGACTAATGCCTCTTCTCTGCTCAATAACTGATTAATTCGACTGCCATTGCAGTCCTAGAGCAGGATTAATACTCGTAGAGAGTGGATACAAAAGAGAGTGTACAGAAAAATTCTAAGATTGGAGAACTATGGACAGAGTTGAACTGCTGCCCCTTTAATGAATGGCTTGTACCTAAACACTCATAGTCACAGAAGATTATCCTTAGTCTGAATTTTGTTCACCCTGTAATTTAGGGTCATGACCTTTAGGGCTGGGGTCACTGTGTAGCAAAGGGCCACTCAGAGAAACCCAAAGTATTTTTACAATTGAGAGGGTCTGATGCAGATGAGTGAGCAGCTGCCAGTCTTCAGACTGTGTTCTCCTGTTCTGAATCTGAACCCTTACCTGCAGGCTACAGAGTCTAATACACAGGCTGGTCTGTTAGGACCTAAAGCTTCATTCATACGAAAGGTGCAGAATGTTTTAATGTGGTCTATTTAACAAAGGAAATGCTACCTGTCCATCACCTGTCCATCGCTGTACAGAATAACCACAATGTGTTTTGTGTCTAGTTTCAAATGACAGTGGTTGGTGCAAAAATGAGAAAAACAAAGAGCAGACAGACAGATTATGGGATTACACAGCCTTGTTATGTTTCAAAAACAAAGTCCTGTCAAATACCACCCATAGCTACCAAGTGAACCCAAGTCAAGAATATATGAGAGATAAAGACAGATCATTAGTGTAATCACAGCAGTTTACAACAGAGGAGTGTGGCGTTAGCATGTTTCCCTGTGACATTTTAAAGGAAATCTCATCTTCCGAGCGCTAAGTCTGCAAATTCAAATACAATGGCTTTGATTATGTGCTTCCCCTCCATAAATCATGTGACTTAGGTCATTAGTCTGGACTGCCACTGCATTCTGAGATTCTCATAAACTTAGATCTCTGTGTTTCATGCCAAACATATTGCTTTCTAATTGTATTTCCTTCTTGGTACTTTGACTTTACTGTGCATACCTAATTATATTTTTGTTACTAGTTATATGTGTTATGTTTTTTTTTTCCCGACTGGCAACATCATTTTTAAAATGATAAAATTCTGATTATATATATTTATTTATTTATTTATATTTAAAAAGTACCTAGTGCCTGTAGTCTAAAAAACTAAATACTTTTGGTCACTTTAGTGAGCTGAGCTAATCCCATCAGACCAAAGCATATTTACAGACAAACTACAGCTTTAGCATTAGCATGGTGCACCTTGTCCCGCAAACATGTGCCTGAGTCTGATTAAACACATATAGTCATTGGCGCACTCCACCCACAAAGCAGTACTACAAATTGTTATTCAATCATTATGCACTCTAAATGCTGTGTAATATTGAAGAATTTTATTGTACATTTACTTTAGGCATTGCAAATAAATAAAACAAAATTTAAGATTTATAAAACTGAATGGGGCATCACCTGTTAGGTATCCTAACAGGTAAGGTGGTGGTAACACATCAGACCACTGTAAGCCCATAGGCGCTTTGTAAACGTTGTGTGGTGCTTGGCTGTTTTGTGTCCAGTCACAAATAAGAAAGTCCAATTATACTTTAATACGCATATTCAATTATAAAAAATATGTAATTTATTGACCCCAAATTAAACAACAACAGCCAGATCTTACATTTTGATATTACAGTAAGTAAAATGACAGTCATGAGTCATAAGGAACCCCAGCTGTCCACAGTAAAGCAGGTAATTGAGTTTTCACTCACACATACAAAAGGTCTCATTCACTCTTGTCATTCTCACTGCTGCAGTGCCTACAGACTGTGGCTAGCAGGCCTCCACAGCTCTTGGTGTTTAAATTGTTTAGCAGGCTCCAGACTGCAGCACAGGCTGGAACTGCCCAGCCATGCATATGTCTTCCTGTTTCTGGCGGACAACACGCTGGATGGCAGGGGGCAGGCCACGGGGGTTCCTGGAGAAGACCAGGGCATATCCATCATCGCAGGAGCCATCCTCTTTGAGGGTACGGCAGGCATAGGTGATAGCATAGTTATCATAGTCAGTGTCGATCACCCAGTAGTTGTCACCTGTTGTGAAATATGCATGTGTTAGTCATTCAAAGAGCAACAGGCTTTAAAAGCAATAAAAGAAAGATCATTACTGACCTCCGCTGGACAAGTAGCTGGCCAGTCCCTGGTAGTTCATAAACATCTTACCAGGGGTTTCAGGGTCAGGGACAGAGTACTGAGCAGCCATATCAGCGCACACAACCCAGAAACTGAAAAAGAAGGACATACCTATGTATTAAAAACAAAGAAAAAAAGACTAAAAAGCTGACCATTGAGATCAGTGAGAAACTGAGCAGGTAAATAATTGTACTGTATTTTTACTCCTTAAAAGTAAATGTTTACACTTGAAACTCACCCAAAGAGAGTTACCCGACCTTTGGAGGAGGCAGTCATGCTTCCATCATCATCAATCGTGTACTCAGCAGAGATGTTGTCCTGAAGGAACAGACCCTCAGGATCCTTCTTCTGCAGAGCGTACCATTTACCTGCATACTACAGGGCAAACACAACCACTCACCATGCTGAACAATTGATTTGAGGAATGTTTTTATTGACTCACTCTTTTTGGGTCAAAATCCTCTTTGACGTTAAAGCTGTCAACAACACAAGAGGCAGACAGGCTGTACTCCACACAGGCCAGCAGCACCAGCAGCAGAGGCAGTTTTGATGAAGTCATTCTGTTAGAAATACAATATTTTAATTCACAGAGAAAGAATATAAATGTAATGTTTAAAAAGTAAATTTAAAAATTATATATTTTTAGCTAATTTTACCACAATAATTGATTGACAAATTGACAAATAGAATCAAACTTTTACAAAGAATTTCAGTAACTGCAAAGAAATAAATGTTCCCTTTCAAAACACTAAGATTTAATAATGTATAAAGAAAATCCATCTTAGATCTTACCTTGTTGGTTAAGAGACGAAAGGTTCAGACACAGTGTGGTCGTCTTGTGCGCTTGTGTCTTTATATACACTCTGCACAGACAAGCTTACGGCTGATTTTCATTGCTTGGGACTAAATAAGGTGCTTAAATCTAAAAGTAATCCTGTTGGGTTGAAATCCTTACTCTAATCTGGCTTCTACTTTCAAACCTGCCCAAGACTTACGATAAAAACAATTAGTTCTTTATGTAACTGACTAGTAGCAAGAATAGTAGAAAATGTTTACAAGATCAGGACAATTCACAAATATTGTGAGCAGAGTGGACCAAATTGCATTTGTAACATGAAAATGGTTTTAAAGAAAGATTTTTTTGTTTGTAGACCCATCTTGTGGGGGAAAAGAAGGAATGTTCCTGATAAGAACATTAAGGGTAACATGCCACGTGCCATGCTGGTGCCAAAGCACAGTAATCCCTCAATCATGAGCAAAAAGGAATAATAAGCAACTATTGAAACTGTTGTTTGTGTTATCTATCCACTTCTCTAACAACTAAATGTGAATTTAAGTGCAGATACATAGATTAAATGCCTGAGCTACAGTGTTTACACCTCAAATGTCCTGAAATGTCCCTGGCATGAACTTGGAGGGAAGACTTTTGAAGAGTGTGAATGTGTGAACAAAAATATGTACATGTATTAATATACATATATTACTAATAATAACTTAACATAGGCTACTGTCCTTCTATCAAACATTTGAGGTTTCAGCAATCAAATGTAAAACCCTGCAGGAAAATCATAAATCATATTAAGACAACAAGGTAGTAACTTAATACTAAAAGAGGCATTAAGTGGCTCGTTTACACCAAATTGTTAATTGTTCACTTTTTACTAAATTAAATAAATTAAATGGTTTATCCTCTGTGCCACCATAGTCACAATAGAAACCTGTGGGAAACACAGTGCATTTAAACCTCAGCTGATAGTATTACCAGTGAATTACAACTACTAATTGATGTAATAGTTATTTACAAAGTCAGTATCTTAGTGGATTAATCCCTGTCACTCTCCAGTCTGGACATAGAGCATGGTCCATGCCAGACAGCCCATCTATTTTTTCCACTGTCTGTGCTGCTTTCTAATCCCAGACATAAATAGCACCACCCTCAAAACCTGAGATCTCCAATTAGTCAAATCTCCAACTATATTTATCAGTCTGTTGATGTTATGATTTAATAGTAATACTCTACTTGTATGGTCTGTAGACCTGTTCATTGACATTATGGTTAAAGACAGGGGCCTCAAGATCTGAGTGTTTCATCAATGAAGTAAAAAAACTGACCTTAAATCAACAGATAATAGACACACTTTTGCACTAGCAAAAGAAGATGCAGACAGGCTAATAATATAGGATTACTCAAACATGTATGAATGAAACAAAAGACAACTCTAGGTAACAACAGAAGGTTGCTGGTCGAAATGTGTTGGCGTCACTCCATGTAATAAAGGACTTTTAATATATTCAGTCGGTGGCCTTGGGTTTGTACCTTGCCCATTTTTACATTTTCCAGTTAGGGCTACATTCTGTTGAGACTTTAGTGATTTGAATATATTGCTCAATGCTCATAATAAAAAAAAATAAAAATCTCAAAGTCCTCTAAAAATCAGCCTATTAAAAATAAAACAACCTACAGTAATCTTACAGTCTTTTCACTTTTTCTGGTCTCTATCTCAAATTATCTTATTATTAAACAACAATTACATTTCTACATTTCTACGATAAGATGAAGTCTACATTACATTTCAAGTAGGCCTAAACCATATTCTATGGCCTAAAAAACACTAGCCTCTTATCTTGGACAGCTTCGCCATCATAGGCGTGTGTGATCTTCATCACGATGAAGGATGATCTTGAATCTCGATGGCGCTCACCAGATCTTCACAGCACCAAAAACAGGTAGGCTAAACGCTAAAATTTTTATTTTTTTTTTTTTTTGGCTAAACGCTAACATCTTACATGTGTCTGTGACCCACCCACCGACCCCCCACACCATAGACTGTATAAAGATAAAGATATAGGATTATATATGCAGTCTATGTCCCACACACACATTTGAGTTAAGATCATGTAGGCTTAAAGTAGTGTAGTAAACCCCACGTGTTGTTTTGAGTTATTATAGATCCATGATAAGCTACATTTTCAACTCTGCTCTATTGCATTCTCCAGGTTATACCACCCTCTTGCGGGTTTGAAAGTTATTGCAGCAATGCAATAAAACTACAATTTCAAGATAAACTGTAAAATGTAGCGTGTGATCTATTTGTGGCATTGTAGTAACGATCTTCTCCTCTCTCTACAACACTGACTAGCTCACTCACGAACACTCTTATGTATTATAGTTGAAGCAGATTATCTATCTGACCTTTTGGTCAAGGTATTTATGAAGCCTTAAATTAGACTTCTCCCCAGACTGGTTAGGGCAAAACAAAAAACAAAAAAACAACAACTTGAAGACACAAAGAATACTTAAATAATAAATAAGCTTACACAAATAGGCAGTTTGAAACTCTTACTTTAAAATACTAAAAATATGTAACAGTGTAGCAACTTTTAGCCATCCAAATTAAATTAATCTGTCTGTCCACATGGCACACTGAAAAGCATGGGCTAGGCAAACAAAGGAATTTATACAATTACCACTGCATTTTAAGGAGATCAAACCTTGTTTAAGTCAATTGCATCCCTTTTAAATTTTTCCCCATATCATCTGGACTGGGGACCACCAATCCTTTCACAACTTTCATGGGGGCACCTATCCCCAGGTTGAGAATCACTGGCATAGCCATAGTCACTTCTACTTATTGACCATATCTTCTGGCCAATACAAGAGGACCTTAGAAAGTGCACAGCCTAGGCACAATCGAGATGTCCATGATCCACAGGGATAACTGGAAATGGGTATGGTAACAGGCAAGGCAAGTTCATCATGTACCCTGTTGTATTTGATAGTATTAGTAGTATCTCTTCACTCATGTATTCCCTGAGTTAGGACAGACATGCTAAGTGCTAGGGCATAGTCCCATTGTTAACAATATCCTGCAGCCTGCTAAATGATCAGCTGACATGTTTAGCTAGGTAGATCAGTGCTAACCTTCAGCACTATCCCCTGATGACAAAGGGATTGTCAGACTCCACCTGCTCCTTAAGGTTCTCTTTCACTCAGTCCACTCAGCACACCAGGGGGCAATCGCTGTATTCCCCCAGTAATTGGACTAATATCTGCTTAATTCACAGGAGTATAATTTTGATGTTATATGCAGATGAGTTTTTGGACTTTTAGGGAAGAGCTCTGGAGGTAGCAAAGTTTGATGAGCTGAAAGTTTATTACTGAGGAAACAAGAGAAGACACCAACAGCATGGGAGTGAAAAAAGAGGATGTGGAAAAGTTTCTCCAAGGAAATCCTGCATTTGCCAAGGAGTATTTTGGCAAGGCGTTGAGTCCAGACTTCATCTCAAAGGCCTCAGGACTTCCAGAAAACCAGGTGGATTTCAACAGTTTTCAGCGACTTTCTCAGGTAACTGCAATGATAACAACTGAAATATTTCCCCCTTTAGAAATACCACAGTTATTCACAAGCACACACACACGAGTATCAGAAAAGAAATGCATTTCAACATTAACTGATAACTGATCTTTCTGTCTTTGTGCTTTTTTTCTAAGATGGAGGAGAGCCAAATCCTATATGACATCATTACAGACATGCAGGAAAATGTTAATATGGAAAAGGTTGTGTTCACACTCCTGAAGAGGATCAGTGCGCTGATCCATGCTGACCGCTGCAGCCTGTTCATGTACCGACAGAGGAACGGTGTTGGAGAACTGGCCACCAGGCTCTTCAATGTGAATGCCCAGGCTCAGCTGGATGACTGTGTGGTTCCTCCAGACTCAGAGATTGTCTATCCCTTGGACATGGGTATAGTGGGCCACGTGGCTCAGACCAAGAAATCAGTTAATGTCAAAAATGTTACAGAGGTAAGAGGCAAACCTTCTGACACACTGAACAGGTACTCTTATACTATATACAAAAGGTTAAAAGGTTTGCCACACACAGGAAAGATATGGCATTTACAATTAGCTGACCTTTTATTAACCAACAAACTATAGTCAGAGTTAATACGTGTAGCACTGAATGTGTGGATGTGTAAATCCCATATCAGACATAATCCATTTATTTCAGTATCCCATGGGCCATTGCTTCAGCTCTGGATTAGACATCCCTGGCATTTACTCAGCTATGAGTGGAATTATAAAACCGATCAATATGTAGGCTACTTGAAGATGCCTCGTGGTTCACTTTATAAATAAATGTTGTGCCCTCATTTATTTGTCAATGTCCTTCTCTCTTTCTCACTTAACAATTACTATATTGCTAAAAATAACACAGATTTCCCATACTGCAGAAAGAGCAGTTTGTAGATTAGATTTTCTGATTTGTTTTATTTGCTTGTCTGTGTTTGCTCATTTTGTATTCTATTGTCAACTCTCAACAAATAATTTTTTTTATAAATGCTGTTTTAGAACCAGTACTTCAGCTCATTTGTGGATGAACTCACTGAATATAAGACTCACAACGTTTTGGCTACACCCATCCTCAATGGAAAAGACATGGTGGCAGTGATCATGGCTCTGAACAAGACTACAGGACCTCACTTCACTGAACAGGATGAAGATGTGAGAGTCAAGCACAACAGCATACACTTACACTTTAAAGCATTGTTAATCTATTATGCCTAAATACAACTCAGATTCAGATTTAATCCCACCTAAGTTTTATATTTGAGATGTTTTGTCCTCAACAGATTTTTTTAAAGTATCTGAAAATTGCTAGTTTGAACTTGAAAATCTTCCATCTGAGTTACCTTCACAACTGTGAGACACGTAAAGGAATGGTAAGTACATTTATTGCAGTAAAACTGTAATGCCATTACTGATAAAACTGTGAACTTCTAATATATGGGTAATTGTTCCCATAGATGCTGCTGTGGTCTGCGAACAAGGTTTTTGAAGAACTGACAGATATTGAGCGACAGTTTCACAAAGCCTTGTACACTGTTCGAGCCTACCTTAACTGTGATCGGTACTCAGTCGGTCTGCTGGATATGACCAAGGAGAAGGTAAATAAGACCATGCATCTTGACAAACAACAGATTACCAGAGTCAATATTCCCTACATAACATGAGGCATAGTGTGTATTGAAAATGGGTACTAAGTGTATTGTTGCAAAAGCAATAATAAGGAGTCTAATAATAATGAGTATTATTAGACATTTTACAAATCTCAATATTTGTGTCTTTAGGAATTTTTTGATATTTGGCCAGTACTGATGGGAGAGCAGCCACCTTACTCTGGACCTGTTACACCTGATGGACGGGTAAATATTTACAATTGATGCATCATAGACAGACATAGACTCTGATAGGGTCAAAACTTTTTTTGTCTCTATAAAGCTCTATCAAGCAGCATTAGCTTCATTTAGTTCACATTTTGTACAAATACTACCATGTACTCTAGGATAATTATTAGAAACATAAAAAAAAATAACAGTTAATTAAGTATTCGATTTGTGTTTTTATGGCGAGACTCATCTGTTTTTGCTTTTAGGAAGTTATATTTTATAAAGTAATTGACTACATACTGCATGGAAAAGAGGACATCAAAGTCATACCGTAAGTTACAAGCTAAAAAATGTATGTAGTCATCATCTTAACTTAAATGAATGAAACTATGCCTAAAGCACCAATGTACTGTATGGTAACATTTTCTTTTTTAAATCAGGAACCCTCCTGTGGACCACTGGGCTTTGAGCAGTGGTCTTCCTACGTATGTTGCAGAGAGTGGTCTTGTAAGTTTGAAATCAATCCCTTAAAGCACCTATATTACGCTATTTGATCAGTGATCAATGTTATGATGTTGTTTCCTCATCAAAAACATACTTGGAGTTCTGTTTTGTTTCATTCACACATGTTTAACACACAAACCCTGTATATTTAAGATGGGTGATTCTCTCAAACAGAAAACACTGTTCACCTTGTGACTGTCATGCAACAATACAGGAAGTGCTCCACTGTGTTTTTAAACTCCATACACCTTCACTGGAATTATTTTGGATAATTTCAACCATGGAATTGCCAATTTCTCCTAAAAAAAAAAAAAAAAAAAAGGTAAAAGGTAGCTATTAACTCGAAAAATATTGCTGCATGACATCATCAGGTGGTACAGAGCATTTTGAGCTTTGGAGATATAGACAGACTAATAATAAAGGGTTATTCAAATGTGTGAATTAAACAAAACACAACTACAGGTATGTTTTTGAGGAGATAACAACATGGCTAAAAGCTCACAAGAGTCAAATGTGTGTAATATAGGACCTTTAAAAGACTATTTTAATGTTAGGTCTTTTTCTAATTATCATCTTGATTTTTACATTAGATTTGCAACATCATGAATGCTGCTGCTGATGAGACATTTAAGTTTCAGGTATGATCTTGTACACGGTAAGAATTCACTAAAAAGATCATAATCACATTTGCTTCCTTCAGACTGAGGCCCTTGATGGCAGTGGTTGGACTATAAAGAACGTCCTGTCACTGCCAATTGTTAACAAAAAAGAAGAGATTGTTGGAGTTGCCACATTCTACAACAGGAAAGATGGGAAGCCTTTTGATGATCATGATGAGCAGCTCATGGAGGTAAAAAGTATATCAAATCATATCTTGTCATGTTTTAGATTGCCTGTATAAATGCAGTTTGCTGAATGCTCTTTTAGGCTTTGACACAGTTTTTGGGCTGGTCCGCCTTAAACACAGATACTTACGACAAAATGAACAAGCTAGAAAACCGTAAGGACATTGCACAGGACATGGTGCTGTACCATGTCAAATGCAGAAATGATGAGATCCAGAACATACTTGTAAGAATGCTATTACATCTTAATATTTGAAATACTATCAAATTATGACCATTTTGGCAAACATAATGTAATTTATGTTTTACCAAGAATACCAGGCAAGTTTTTGGATGTGAGCCCAGTGAGTGTGAAGAGGAAGAACTTTTACAAATTCTGGTAAGAAAGAAAGAAGAAACAGAAAATGTAGAAGCTTGACAATTGAAACCATGAAAATACAAATGAATACTGGATTCACTGTTCATCTTTTTAGAAAAAAGATCTGCCGCCACTGATTAAAAAATTTGAGATCTATGCATTTCACTTTTCTGATTTTAACTGCACTGAGTTGGAGCTGGTGAAGTGTGGAGTCCAGATGTACTATGAAGTTGGTGTGGTCAAGAAGTTTCAGGTCCCACAAGAGGTAGGCAACCAAAAATCTAAAGGTCTTCACAGTAAAAGTTAATACCTATAAAATATATTATATCTTTTTAGGTGCTGGTGCGTTTCATGTACTCTGTTTGTAAAGGCTACAGAAGAATTACTTACCACAACTGGCGCCATGGCTTCAATGTGGGACAGACCATGTTCACACTTCTTACGGTAATAAACCACCAAGTATCATTATTTTCTTAAATGTTTGTACAATAAACAAATAATTTTCAGACAGGGAATTTGAAGCGATATTATACTGACTTAGAAGTAATGGCCATGATAACAGCAGGATTCCTCCATGATATTGACCACAGAGGAACCAACAACTTGTACCAAGTCAAGTAAGTGCTGTGCCATATCATTTAGTTACTATACCATAAAGCCTAATTGTAGAAAAAAAAACAAAAAACTTAAAACATTTTGTCTAAAATATGAATCAATATTTTCAGGTCAGGCAATCCTTTGGCAAAACTGCATGGCTCCTCCATATTGGAGAGACACCATCTAGAGTTTGGAAAATTTATTTTGTCTCAAGAGGTAAGAAGAGAACCGATGACAAAAAATTTATGAATGATTGACTGATTGATTCTAGAAGACTCATCCTCTACAATGTTGAAATACTCTCTCTTATATTGTTGGCAGTCTCTGAATATCTACCAGAACCTCAACAGGCGACAGTCTGAGCATGTCATTCATCTCATGGACATTGCTATTATTGCCACAGACCTGGCTTTATACTTTAAGTCAGTTGACACATAATATATTTATGTGTTTGCAAATATAAAATGGTCATAAATGTGAATCCTTTGCCAATTCAGGAAACGAACAATGTTTCAGAAGATTGTGGACCTGTCTAAAACATATGAGGATGAAAAGAAGTGGGTGGACTTCATGTCACTGGAGACAACAAGGAAAGAGATTGTAATGTATGTACAATGCACTACAAATGTAGAGATATTTAGACACTTTTGTCACCTTGCCATCTGTAACTATTTCAGGGCCATGATGATGACTGCATGTGACCTATCAGCTATTACCAAACCATGGGAAGTACAGAGTAAGGTGAGAAACCCTAAGATAGATGTTGTTTACAGTTTAACAATCGCTAAGGCAGCCTATTAATGGTAAAGATGACTTATCGGTTAGGTGGCTCTGTCTGTTGCTGAAGAGTTTTGGGAGCAGGGTGACTTGGAAAGAACAGTACTTGAACAACAACCTATTGTAAGATTTCAATTTACCAATATGATTTTCAAATATAGCGTTGTCTTTTTCAAAACAATTTTATGTTATTCTCTAGCCAATGATGGATAGGACTAAATCAGCGGACCTCCCCAAACTTCAGTGTGGTTTCATTGATTTTGTCTGCACATTTGTCTATAAGGTAATGTGAAATACACATGCATCTGTATCTCAAGACATGAAAGCACTGTGTTATTCTATTTATTCTTTTCCTCTAGGAATTTTCTCGCTTCCATCCCCAAATCCAGCCAATGTTGGATGGTCTCCTGAACAACAGAAAAGAGTGGAATGCAAAAAAGGAAGAATATGAGGCTAAACTCAAAGCCATTGAAGATGCAAAGGCTTCTAAACAGGCTGCTGCTGCCAGTAAAGGTATTATTATCATTGCTATTCAATATAATATAGATTTCAGTTAGCTTATTCCTGTTGGATTTAACAGTTGTGATCAAGCTTAATAATATTTTTTTCTGCTTGGATGACTAACAGCTGACAACCCAGGAGGCTCTAAAACTTGTTCTGTGTGCTAAAGGACATCAGCACAATCATTAAAGGAGAAACTGTTTCTAACTGACTGTCCAGAAATAAATTCAGTAATGTAAATTAAGAAATTAAAGGTGCTTTTAGCTTCCTAAAAGGTCTAATATCATCATTCAGTATTGTAAAATGTTAGGCTACTGTACCATCTTCCAGTCAACTATGATTTACTGTGGGATTGCTTAAGCACCATAGAAGCAAAAAGTAGATAGTGGTGAGATAATCAGCTCAGGGTTTTGAGCAGTCACATTGATCTGTAGCTAAAAATGATGCCTTTATTGTAAATACAATACTGTATATGTAATAGAAAAAAACAGATGTAAATGCAATTGTTTATTTGAACTGAACTTTATTTACTAAAACTTACTGTCCTATTTTTATTGTAACTTGAATAACTGCATATGTTTACATTTCAATGATTAAAACAATGTCATCTAACTTATAATTTGTCAGTGACGAGTGCTTGTAGGGACTGGTAACATTTGTATCCTGTATATTTTAGGATGATCCCAATGATGATATTTTGGCAGTTCAGATCAGAAATGTGCTCAAATGCACATGCAGAAAGTGCAGGAATATCCAGCTAGTTGTGCTATTTTATTAAACTCCACAGAGTCAGTTGGAACATAGATTTTCTACTGTTTTATATTGCTTTCTGACATCTAAAATTTTTACACGTTTTGATTGATAATTCCAAATTCAAATGATTAAATATATAAAGTTTATGTTAGCAGCTATTTAAAAATGTGCTTTCAAATGATGACATGTACTGTAGAACAACTAAGGTAGATTACCTTCTACTTAACACTCACTGGAGATTCTGTGAATTGCTGTATTATTAATAATGTTTTTACTGTATTTTCGACCACTAGCTTGTGAAATGTTGGCCATAATAAAGCTAATGTATTTTTCAGTCTGGAAACCTTTTTTTTTTACTCAAAACAACACTCACAGTATAAAACAATAATTAACAACATTTTATATTTGAAACATAAAAGAGCTCTATATCTAGTTCATAGTGTAAGCAAAACATTACACAACACCCTGCCTTCATGTAATGCTTCTGTCCACACAGCATTTTATACCACTTGTCTGTGACCTCAATCCAGGGATTGCTGCTAAACAAGGCTAGGATTACAACATCATTCCTCTTCATCTTCTATTGAAGGACAGTAGTGCATAGATTCAGTAGACATCAAGGTGTGAGTTATAAATGTATGTCACTGTTTGCTTTATACCCTGATACCTCCAAAATACAATTGTCTCTCCTTTGCTCTTTTTGCTCTTTTTCAAGACAGGTTAAGTGACTCAGGTGTTCAAGCTGAGATAACAACACATTTATTTTATCATAAAAAGATAAAGATAAAAGGTAAAACTGTCTATATATGTGTGTGTGTGTGTATGTGTGTGCATCAAATTGCTATAGAGAATGCATAATGCATAATACATTTTTATGTGACCTATATGAATATACAAACATTTGCAAAATTTCAGATGCTATACCATCTGTGCAGACAATATAAATAAATATAATATTCAGTATAGTTCCAATGACATTTTTAATTCTTCAGTCGTTATCATAGATGCATTCTGTAAAGAAAATAAAGGACTGTTGTAACAATGTTGGTGCTAGTGCTGTACAGTACAAATCTATATTTTCTGATATACTTTAAATAATTTACTTACCATCATCTCCAATATCATCATAGATATCTCCATCACTGCAAGAAAAACAAACATATAAAAACTGGCTCATTGTAGTTTCTTGTATGTATCTTGGTGTATATACTTACTCTGTAGCAACATAGCTGGTTGATACATAACCAACTGTTATCAACAAACAAACGTAAGTAAATTGAATATAATTCACCATGTTTAATTTACTTTCCAGCGCAAGACTCACATTTGCCATCTTCATTTCTACAGATGAATTTGTTATCAACTGGTTTCACAATTACATCAAGTTTCTCCCCTGCTTTGAGTGAGAGCTCTTTGTTACTCCACTTCTTGTTGGTTAGATTTGGGATGATGGTCACCTGATGCAGCACCGTAATCTCTCCATCATACTAAAATAACAGGCCATCGACAACAGTTACTGCATGTCATTTCAAAATTATGTACAGTATTCAAAACTACTGAAATGAGGTAGGTTGGTGTCTACCTTAAACTTTTTTCTGAATTCCTTCTCTTCTTTCTCTAACTTTTTCTGCTTCTTTGGATCTACCTTTGGTATGCTTTAAAAACAACAAGAAAAAAATCTATTAAGGATTTCTGTAATCTGACAGAAAAAACTATTTGAGCCACAACTACCCTATCATGGGTGGGGGAGGCATATTTTGAGAGTCCACATCATCGTAAATGTCTTCGTCAATGGCATCTTCCTTATGAACTATGAAAACATGCAAAGGTTTAGAACACAGTTTCTCATAACACTCTTTACAGCATGTCTATACTTTACCTGTATCTCCTGAAAACTGACTTGTTGGGGGCAATCTAAAATCATAAAAACACACAATTAAATACTGTCTTAATCAACCAAGTAGATACATTTAGTGATCACAATTATTTGTGCAGTAAGTATTTTAGCATGCATGAATTTGAGGACATAAAATGATTTGAAAAAAAATAAAAAAGTACATATATATATATATATATATATATATATATATATATATATATTTTATTTATATATATATATATATATATATATATATATATATATATATATATATATATATATATATATATATATATATATATATATATATATATATATATATATATTAGTTTAATTTTGATTGGCAGATTTAGATGGGGAAGATTAATAGGATTTTGCTGAATCTTACTAAGGCATGCATTTTACACTTTAGTGCTGGGAGCTCTTCTGCTCCGTTCAAGCATCCACTGGAAGACACGTGGCTTCATGGGAGACTGCAATGGTTCTGAGGGACTGAACAGCCAACCAAACATCAGAAAGGTTTCTATTTTCTACATACCTTTCCAGACACCAACTGTTGATAGACCAGCTGAAAACTTGGCTATAAGTTCTATTTTAAGTTAAATTTGAATATATTTTACATGTTCTTACCTAACATCTACGATAGGATCTACATCATCATATATCTCTTCTCCATCCACTGGAAGAGGTGGGAGAGCCACTGCAGACAGAAGTGCATGTGTGATGAACTACATAGTAAAGACTTGTAAGTAATATAAATATAAGAATGAAAATTCAGCTTACCCACAGGACCTTTGGCTTTACTGAAAAACATAACACAGAACATGTGGTACATGGTATTTTATAGACTGATTCTCTGGTAGACTTACATCTTTCAAAATATGACATAAATGTGATCAGATTTACCTCTTCTCAGGAGGTGCCATATCAATGTCGTCATAGACCTCAGGTTCATAAGCTTGCCCAGCCCCTTGTTGCTTTAGAGCGTTGAAGTCGATTTCCACTGATGTTATCTTTACGTAACCGACTAAAATGAGAAGTTTGAAAAATAGCCTAAATTTTTGAAAGCCTCCAAACTCCACTTTCACTTTTTATATTTCGGGTTAACACACTTGCTCCATCTCGTGCGCGGCCCAACCACTTGCCCTCAGGGTTGCCCTGGATGCGGATGATGTCCAGTGAGTCTCCCTGCTTCAGACTAAGGTCAGTCTTAGTGCCTTTAAAGTCCACACGAGCCTTGCCTTTCTGAAGAACCTCCACTGGACCCACCAACTGGGAACATTTCACATTTTTTGCCACCATAAAAATAAGGTATTCAGAATGCAATGAGCACAGCACTGCACAGTTGTTTATAAGACCTATTTTCTCACTTACTTTAAACTTCTTTCTGGCCTCTTGTTCTTTCTTCTCTCGTTCCTTCTGTTCCTTTTTCTCGGCTTCCAAGCGTTTTTTTTCTTCCTTGTCATCTTTTGCTTTTTTCTTGTCCTGTTTTTGTTCTTCCCTTCACAAAAGAAATTCAGAAAATAATCTAGAGGTGTCCCAGGTTATTGCTGTAATAAACATGTGTCCAAAGTATTCTGTATGTATTCGATGTGTTGTCAAACAGCCACTAGGGGGAAGTATTACTCAAGAGTACAAAGAGTGCAATAGACAAGATTTTATTGAGAATGCATGCCTCTATAGAACAGTGCTCTTTCTTTTAAAATGCCCTTAGGGTTATGTTTTAGAATATATTATTTTATTATTCATTTGCTTTTACCAAATAATTTATAATTTCATATAAGTGATCAATTATATCATAGTTTCTTACCATCTTTCATCAAGATCCTCATACATTTCCCCATCATCGTCATCATCCTCATCTTTCTCCTGTGTCATAAAAAGCATTACACACAAATACACTGCACATTGCAGCACTTAACTCTTCATTTAACTTAACTGTCTGCCAATCTTTATCTTGGCCAAATGTAATAAATCAGGCATTGTCACAACTCACCTTTGATATCTGGCTTGGATGAACTGCAAAAAAAAAAAAAAAATATACAGAATTTACTTGTATTGAGCTATTGTATATAGCATTTTATTGAGTTGACTTTTGCTTTTACTTAGTTAAATCTGCAGATGGAGCACCAGTACACAAAATAAAGAAATATAATATGACATTGTCCTCTGAAACATGACTTTTAAAAATTCTGTAGCAACAAACCTGGTGGCAGAGGTGGTGGTGCACTGGTCGGTCCATCAACATCATCATAAAAGTCTTCTGTTAGATTTCTGGAACAACACAAGGTCTCCTCCTTAGTTTTTGTATGTGTTTATTTGTTTTTGATAATAGTACTGCCATTTACTTGTCTTCTATGGATCTTGATTGCAGACTTGGGACAGGGGGTGGTGGAGGGGTCACATGGTTGCTATGGTTACTGGGGTGAAAGGGAGGAGGCGGAGCTATGGTCCTCTTTGGATCTTTAACAACAAACATATGTAGGTCAGATGGTATAATGGCTTTAACATACAATGCTGTTGTCTCCCATAACTGAATGATAATAACCGACAGTTGTCGATTGAAGCTGAATGTAATTATGGAGTTTTTGTATTTATTTTAGAACACCCTCGTTCTTACTTCCTCATGAAACAAAGTCCACTGTTAAACTGAGACAGTAAATACTTGATTTATTGTTACAGACCATGCCATAGCTTTTATATTGTGGTCTCTAACACTGATAATGTTTGAATATCATTGCACTTACTATAGGAGTACTCTCTTTTCTTTTTCACACTTCTGACATGCTGTTCATTGCATACTGTTGTGAAAAGGAAATGCTCTTGATACCACTAAATAAGAGGAAGCTTGGCCTGTCACAAGGTCTCCCATCAGCAAAACAATGTCCAACTTCTATAAAAGGTGAATGATGGAGAATACACAGAAAATGAAAGTGTTTGACGACAGATGTTTTGGAGCCTTTAGGCTCACAGGTGTGCTCCAAATGTTGTTCTAGTTTATCTCCATCTAGACCAGTCCTCAAATGCTGGTGCAGTTATTTCTGATGGTTATATTTTAATCAGACATTTTAGATCCACTATTTGAAGCATATTATACCTTATAAATATACCTAGAGACATAAAGAAGGGTTTGCTTGTTAGAAGAGTTTTGCTCACTCCCACCCAGAAATTCCAAGTGTCAGTAAAAGTGATTCATTTGTTTAGCCAAACATTATGCAATTTACCTAAAACACAAGGAATGTTCCACCAGCAGTTTAGGCATTCTAAATTACAAAACTGAGGCTGTACAAAAAGAATATGGGATGCTACAGAATGTTTCACATAATAATACTGAATATATGAATAATTAGCTCATTTAAAACACATCCAGAAGTATTAACAAAATATGGGAAACAAAATAGGAAACAAAATATGAACTAATACAAGAATTACATGCATTTATGTCTTAAGTACAGGGGTTGGAGAAACATGACCCTAATACATATCATGAGAGTAATAAATATGAATTTGCCTATCTATAATATTACCTCATGTTTCCTGCACACAATTAAATATATACCAATAATTCACCTGACTCGACTCATTAAATTGCTTACAAATTGTAATTTTTATATAGACTCAACTGGTATCAACTTACAGTATTCTCTTGACCAGACCTGAAAAGGGAAAGAGTCTGCTGAGGTGAATCTACAAAGTTCCTCTAAAAGATATTGGTGTTAAAATAGAAGCACGCTATTTTCACACTTTTAACAGCTGCAAATGTCTCTGTACAACAAGGCTTAATTTTAGAGAAGACATGTTACAGTAAAACTTTATTGTACAATGTGTTTTCTTCTTTTAGGGTATGTACTTAAGTAAACCATATAAAATATAATTTCTTTCTCTTTCATTACAGTATTATGTGCTATATAACCATAATTTCCGGACTATAAGCTCACACTTTGAACCCTGCGCTTTATAGCCTACAACCATGCGGCTAATATATGCACGGGTTGTTTCACTGGCACATTGTCCATATGTACGGTCTATGGTTGGCCATCACAGCAGAAAGTGCCGCTGTGTGCGGTTGACATGAAGCTGAAGTGTTAGCTAGCGCTGATGTCAGCGCACTAAAACAGCTTATCACCCTGTGATAAAATAAGTTATTATGCTATGATGCAGCGGGACGAACTGGCTCAATGCAAAAAGACTATAAAAGCTTTAAGAGGCTTTAAAAACGTTCTTGAAGACGTGTACACCTGCGGCTTCTAGACAGGTGCCTATAAATGTACACTTTTTTTTTTTTTTTTGATGCATCTTATATTTGTTTCACCAACATGTAACGTGTGTAAATCGTGGTAATAGGACAACCAGGCCAACCACAAGCCACCACTGCTCTTTACAGTATGTAACCTTTCTTTCATATACTCTGTAGTAGCGCTTTGTGTAGATCTTACCATCAGCAGGTGTCTTGGGTCCTCCCTTAAACGCATCTAGGTTGACAAATGGAGGTCGGTTTGGTTTAGCTGGAGCTGGGCCCAGGGCTAAACTGTTGGGGAGTGGGTTCTTCTTTGGCGCTGAGGAGTCACTGTTGTTAATGTGAGGGGAGGGCTTCTTCAGACTAGGCTTCTTGCTGGCGAGAGGTTTGGGAGGGGGAACGGAGATATTTAGAGGCGGTTTGTTGGCTGCACTTGGCCTCACGCAGGCGTCTTGCTCTGCTGGCTCTTTGCTAACTAAGATTTGTGCAGTCCTTGTGTTTGAGGTTGGTTTAACAGCAGGGATTACAGGAAATGTGGGTTTTATGACAGGGTCTGTGATCACTTCTGCCTTTGTGTTCAGAGCAGTTGCCTCTATTTGCTGTTGTAATTTGAAAATATTGTTGTTAGGTTTGGGTTGCACAGTGGGTATTTTAGGCGCAGGTGGTGGTGGAGATGATGTGGAGTCCTCTTTGATCCAGTTGGGTTTCACAACGGGTTTGAGAAAGACCGGTTTGGGCTCTGACCCAGCAGCACTCACACCAGCCTTGAACAGAGGTACTATAGGCTCAGGTGATATAGGCTGTATATAAGGTGATTTTGAGGGTAACTTATGTTTGCTAATAGGTGGACTTGTGTTTTCCTGGGAGTTTGTAAACTTACTGGCCAGGGCTTTGGTTTTGTTTGGTTCTTGGGCCACTGTGTCACTTTTAAATGATGGAGTGTTTTTAAGAAAAGAGGGTTTTGGAGGAATAGGTGCACCACTGTCTGACACAGGCTTTTTCATGTGCAGTGCCTGCCCTGACAGTGTGGCATGGACTGGTTGTTTGGGTTGTCCTGGACTAGCGAAGGGGGTATCTTCTTTGCTTGATGCATTTCCCTGAAAGCGAGCCATCATGGCCTTTACATCAGGCTTGTTTTCCTGAAACAAATGGCAACCAGTAGGGTCAGTGTGGTGGCCAGTATGTCGCCACACCTATTACAGTAGCTGGTTCAACTAAATCAGGAAGTGCAGATAAGGCAGGAGGGTGAACTACACTGCTGCTTTTCTAAACATGTGAAAGTGAGAACATAGGACATGTGAATATTGCAGAATCACATGTAATATTCAAACATCATGTGCAAAAGTTTTGACATGTGGTAGCCTGTGAAATAGGGGAAAAGAAACAATGCAAAGTTCCCTCATCATGCTTCTGTTTTTTTACCACAGTAAACTTAAAATGGCTCAATATGTCCCTTTCCAAATGAGTTACAGCAAGTGGTTCTCAAAATAGTGGTGCTACTGCAATTTGGTAAAAACCTGTCAATTTCCAATGTAAAAAAAAAAAACAACTAGTTCTCCAAAATGCTGGGTATGTGTGACTTCCACATATTTCATGTTTTATCAAGCAACTTTGACTTGAATGATATATTATTATATATATTATGTTACTGATCTGCTATGTTGTGAAGGACACATGCATTACATATATTTGACCCCTTGCTGGAAAACGCTCTGTAACATTGAAAGTTAATGCTGGCCTGCCAGTAAATAAAAGAAGGAATGTAAGTTTGTGGTCAATGAGGAACAACTATTTCACTCCGAAGTTATGCATGTATTTTAAATATGTATGCAATTTAAATATTCAGCTTCCACAAAATAAAAATTTGATTATATTACATTGTAAAGAACAGAAAGTAATCTGACCAGTTATATACTATATACTGACCAGTTATACAGTATATAACTGTAATAGACAAACAGCAAGAAAAGACTGTTTTTTACATACACGCAAATATACAGACAGTCTGTCATCATGTGATGGTATTAGTTTCAAAGGTGTATAATACACTCAAATCTATATTTGAATATGTGACAGTTAACTCAAATATTATGCTTGTTTAAGTAATGCTACATGCTTTGTACTCACCATAATGGAGGAGCCAGTGCCTGTGCTGTGTCCAGAGAGCTACAGGACAAACCAGTACTGAGCCTGATTACTTTATTACTGGTAGGAAAGTCCTTCAGAGTAGAGCTATGGAGAAATAGAAAATCCAGCCACAGTGTATGCCTTCAGTGTGGGCAAATGTGAACTCTGTCCAAAGCGTAAGTATCACAACCACTGACGACTTCCTCTGCTCAGTGTGTGCGTGTGTGTGTGTGTGTGTGTGTGTGCATGTGTGTGAGTGTGTGCATGTGAGTGTAAGTGTGAATGTGTTGCCTGAGCATGTGTGTGTGTGTGTCTGTCTTTGTGAGTGCGTGTTCATACTGCATGTGCATGTACTCAGTTATCTCTGGGTTTGATCAAATGGATTTGCCTATCCCGAGCAAACACCATGTAGTTTCCTTCTCCAACTAACAGAAAGAAATTAATAGCCAGAGAGGGATGCTTTATATTAATATCTATTATATTTTTAGTTACTGTTTGTTTATAAAACACTAAACTGATAAATTACATTCATTATAATAAAAGAGGGATGATTTATTGGACAGTACATTATTTTGTAATGTGTATTTGCTTTGGAAGTTTTATTTAACCTACTACATTCTGTTCTATTTGTCACTCTAAATGTTTTGTTTTTATTCAGAAAAGGTAGTATTATTTACAGTTCTTGTAATGCAGAAACTTAATGAAGCCATCGTTATTCAACTCATCTATGACACCAGCCAATAAAGCATCAATAAAAACCTTTATATACCTTAAATACCTTTTCTGTGATTTTACATTTACATATTAACATTTTTTTTTTTTTCAATTTGAATTTTATTAGCAAAATCTGAAATACATTTGATTGCACTGACCATATTTTAAGTGTTTCACAGCATTTTTATTATTGTTGTTGTTGCTATTTAATTTTCACCTGTCCTTTTCTATAAAACTAGGTTATTCCTCTGGTCCCTGATACAAGTACCTGTCATCTGTTCCCTCGGCATCATATCCATAATGCCCTTCCTCGCCTCCCTGCTGATCTTTGATGTCACTACATTGGATCCCAAGTCTCCTTTGCAGTCTCTCCTCCTGCACACGCTGCTCCATGGAGTCCACCAGGTCATACACACTGTCCAGGGACCACATGGGAGAGGTAAACCAGGCCTTCACGTCGCCATCCTTCCCTACCACAAGCATGCTGAAGTAATCCTTACTGATCTTCAGCTGCTCCCTCAGGTTGTTCACGGTGTCTTTGGACAAAGGTTCCATTTCACTCTGACTGCGACCTAAAATCCATTTTCAAGGTGAAAAGCAAATTAATAAGTTCAAGATCATTCTAATATACATATGAGTACATTTAAAATAGTAGGGAAACCCCTTTTATACCATTTAATGGAAAGAGCTCAACAGTCCCTGTGGCTTTTTGGCCTGCTCCTGTCAACTTTAACATCGCAAAGTGTCTGATGCCTGCAAAAAAATAGAGGATACACCTGATCCAGAGATTTCCAAAAACAACTATGTGATATATGAGATGTATATGAGATACATTTTGCATAATATGGCTTGTAAATTAAGCAGGTGCAGTATTATGCGATCTTAACAGTAGTGGTTTATCACAGCTGTGAAGTACTTTACTCACCGAGTGCACACTGTTGTCCGCTTAGAGCTGAGAGCTGCTGCTGGTAAGAGTAGTCCTCTTCAGAGGGAGCCGAAATGAGCAGCAGCCTCCTCTTTGACATGAACCTGTTGGTCAGATTTTTGATTGTGCCAATTGTAATCTGCATACAATTACATAGTCAATACTGTAAGAAATACTAATGATAAAAATACCTTAGAAGTGAATTCTCTGTTTCTGGTTGCTGATGGTTTCTGGAGCAAGCTGGCACAGTTTTTCTCTCAATTTCTTTCTCTGGCCGTCTTGATGAGAAGTTATCAATAAACTCAAACAAAGCAAGAGTCGATGGTGGAGCCTCAAAAACTCTCTAAAAAAGTAAATGGGAAAGACAAACTTAAGATACTTAAAATACTTTACATTTACAAAACAAACTGTGTCCTTACAGTGGGCTTAATGTCATAGTCTGTGATGGTCATTGAGAAGAGATCAGGAGATGAGAGGCCAAGTTCAGAGCGAAGCAGAGAGATGAGACCTGTGTCTGAGATCTGCTCTGAGGGACCACTCAGCGGCGCACTGGACTCTGAAACAGGTACTTTATTTCAATGCAAAGGTGGGGGAGAACCACAAGGTAAATTAGGTTGATTTTCAGTGGACTGAAATAGGTTAGATTTTGAAGTCATGTATTAACTTTTGTATTGGTTATGATTTACTTTTGTGGAAACTAACCAGAAAGGCTAGTTTTGTTTAACTAATACATAATGATGTATTCAGCAGCATGTGTAAATCTAGTTATACCAGGGTGGTAATGCTGAAGGGTAAGCAATGCGTCACTTCCTTGTCCCACTATTGTTGCCACAGTGAACTTTCTGATAGCAAGCTCACACTGTTGCCTCTCATTCTCCTCTTTCAGTTGCATGTACAGTTTGGCATCTTGGCTTGGAGTTGAAATAAGCTGTGAAACAAACATCATTTGTAATAAGAGAAAACTGCAAAGGGAGATGATAAAAACTCACCATAAGTCGTCTTGTCCCCCTTAAAGAGTCCATAAAGGCTCTAAGTGCGGCTTTGTCTTTCTCACTCACTTCTCTGCTTGACTTTCTCCCTCTCCCTTTCTTTTTCCCTTTCTTCCCTTTGCCCTTCTTCTTTGGACTTGCTTTGTCATTACTGTCACCCTTTGCATTTGGTTCATGCTGAATGTTCTTGTCTTCTTTATGTGTTTTTGTTACTGCCTTATCGATCCTAGTGGGGCACAGATTATACATTTTTATTTATTGTTCATTATTGACCACAAAATGATTCTTAAATTTCAAAAGCACAAGCGTTTTATTTTTGGTGTTGAACATGAATTACTATATACTTTATTAACTATATAATTATTGTATTAGGATTATGTTGACACATAGACCACTGCAAGGAGTCTTTGTAATAATGTTGTGTGCTTTTGCCCACCCTCATTTAATTGTTTAATCAGTGCACAGGACATTAGGTCACAGGTCTTTACTCAACCAATATCTTCTTTTGTCTGCTGTTGTCCTGCTGGATTGTCTGCCATACATATTACTGTGTGTCTTTCTAGGTGTTTCTTTTGATACCCCCAGATATTCATAAACCAACTGTAGCGTTCCATACGTAAACCATCTATAGTGTATAACAAAATGTATGTATGCATTTGTAAAATGTAAAATGTATTTTCTGCATGGACTAAAATATAGGGTAAATTTTTCAGTATGGATCACAGGGATGTTAATTAAAATATTCCAAACAAGCTTTAAAAACAATAAAACTAATAAAATTGGTTTGGTTTCTAAAATCAAATTTGCTGAGTTACCCAACCCGAAATGATGCTGACCTTTTTCCAAGAGCCACATGGTGACACGAACTATGCTTCGCTACATATATTTAGTGGCAACCCAAAAGTATGCCTATCACGATAACAAATTTTGAAGTGTGATATATTGCTGAAGTAGTATAGATGATAAATGATAATAATGAAACCAACCATAAAGCAGAACTATCCCCCAAAACCTCTATAATGAATCATAGAAATTCATAATTCAACCATGCTCAAATCAGATTGGTAGAAAATAACCCAAAATTTCCCACTAGTACAAAAAAAAATACACACAGTCAATATTGACCACCCAAAAATATTGGTCCAGCTTTCATATACTGAATGATTAGTTGATGTAGTAATTATCGTAACATGCCTTGATTATATGATACTGACTGAAAAGAAATTATCCTCACCTTTCCTCCTGGTTGCTTGATGTTACTAAAGGATGTCTGTCTGTCTCTTTTTGAGTTTCAGTCCTTTTTCTCTGTTCTGGGTTCAGCTTTTGTGTAGATCCTGGAGAAGACCCTTTTCGGATAACAAATCTGTAGTACCCATTTAAAATATCCTGGATCTTGCTCTTTAGGGCTTCCTTTTTGTCTAGAACCATTTTTCTCTTAGGTGCAGCCACTGAAGTTACATTTCCACGTCTCTGGGAGCTCAACACCATTTTTGTCTTTATCCTTTTCCTTTTCCTCACAACTTTCTTCTTGGTAAGTTTACACCTACGATCAAAGATAGAGATGCTAAACAGAGATAAGGAAACTAAAACATAACATAAAAATCTAGAGATAAATAAAGAGCGCACCTCATGTTGGGTCCTTGCCTGGTCATCTTCTCCAGCTTTCTCTTTGGAAATTGGTCTATCATTTCAAAAATGGCTTCAACTCGGACTGGATAAGGGAAGCGCTCACTGGTTCTTAGGTTCTTTTTAATCACCAGCATAATGAACTCATCCTAAAATAATTTATGCATGAATGTGAATATTTTGCATAACAATTTATATTTGATCTATTTGTTTTCCTTACATGTCCAGTGAGCTCCAGGTAATGGAGTAGTTTGCTCACTGTGTCTGGGTCCAGGCTTTCCACTGATGCTTGACCCTCTATGGTGGTCTTCACTATCCTGCCCTCCATCATGGCATTTTGGATGATGGTTATAATGTAGGTGTCTCTCTCTGCAAGATGGCAGTTCAACCCTACCTGAGGTAGATTTTGGTATGCATTAGTTTGTTGTTGTGGACAACAAACAGATCTCTTTATATGAATAAATAGAAAAAAGATAAACCATAGACTCGTTTTTGCAAGTTCAAAAGGAAACAGATCATTTTCTGTAAAGAAAAGTGGAAATATCTTCCCTGTAGACACTGTGGTTTCAGTTTAAGTCCTTTATTAATCTCACCTGGTCCATGTCTTCCAGCTGTTTTTCCATCATGCGCAGATAGTTGTCGTTATGGGAGGAGGCTGTTATAACCCATAGCCTCTTTTTGCCTTAAACAATACAACTCCATATAAAAATCACAATCAGGCTGAGACTTGTAAAATTATGTATTTGTCTTACCTGCAAAATCCACCAGAAAATCCAGCTCTGGAGCAAAAGTTGTACTTGGCTCTGCTTTTGTTTTTTCATGTTGTGTATCTTCTTCCAGCCCAAGACCCAGTTCAAGTCCAGTTGGTAGATCTGAATAGTCTCCCCAGTCCCGAACATTTGGGTCTGAAGACTTTAACTTGCTTTGACCAGCCCCTGGTCTGGTATGCACCCAATTCGAAAATGATAATAATAGAACTAATCTGCAAAGTAGAAGCATCCTTATTGCACAAGTTGATCGTTATATCAAATGTCCATATCCACATTTGCTATTTCAGTTAAAGGTTGTTTGGTAAAAATCTCCACATCTCTGAGTCAAAATTTTTCATAATGTCTGTATAAAGAGCAGTTCAATGCTATCTGCCCCAACACATGCTGAGAAAGACTGACTGAAGCTGTTCTCCCTCTCGACACACACTCCTGGTTCACATTATACCCCAGCCTTGTCGTTAACAGGAAACTCCTGGAATTTGCTCTGACTTCAAAGCATTTTCTTTCAACAAATTTCACTCCAACTCCCACTCCAACTGCCACCCTCTCACTCCAACAGATAAAATGCATACTTTTTGTTTTTGTAGGTGGCAGCTTTGTTCATCACGTGTTTTGATGAATCCTTTCAATGGCAGAATCATACAGGCAGCAGTAGCCTACTGCAGTGAGGTCAGGGCATTGGGAACCCATTCAGCACAATGTACACAGAAATGTGCACATTAAAGTTTTAGTCAATTCAACATTAACTTTTGATGTGATCTTTGTCCTTCAAAAACTATAATTGCTGACATGCAGTTTTATGCATTTTAATGGAGCTTAAAGCCAGTGATGGAATACACAGCAATTTTTTATCAGTGAATTCAATCATTTAATCAAGCAACGCTTTTATAAATTGTCTGTTCAACACAAGAATGGTCACCAAAGCATTGGTAGACCTTAACCTCCTTATTAGTGTTGTCATAATTCTAAATGTAGATGAACAGATAAAGACAGAGATACATACATATTTTTGACATTAGGGGCAGTAAGGATTGTTTCGTAGTCCATTTGTCCATGTTTTACTCTAAGTCTGTTGTCATAAATAGCACTTACAGAACAGTTCACACCAGTTCAAAGTTGTGATACAGGAGCTCAGTGCCCACATGTCTGCAACAATAACCTTTCTAAAGCCTTTGTCAAACTGATATCTGGAAAGTACCCAGTGTGCATGCATGTATTCAGTCTGCAAATCAGTGTGTTTCTATGGAGATGTTGACTAACATCAAGGTAAATTTTGCCACATAGTGAAATAAAAGGTCAAAAGGTGAAAGATGTTAATGACACACTCAGGTCATTACAGTTCTTACTATGCCTTATTCAAAGATAGATTTATTCAAAAGGCAAAAAGTATTTTGATGTAAATAGTAGGAAATCAACTGTGATTCAGCATCAGACATCCTAAATATGTGAAGGAAAAGTTTTATATTTAAAATCACTCTGTTTGCTAAAGGCTTAAATCAGAAACAGATGCAGTGTGCATTCCTCACGCTAGCCTTGATAAAGAGAAACATATGATTATTGTAGATCCGAAGTGTTTACATAAAGGACACTATTGGAATTCACTAGTCCAGTGGTTCTCAAACTGAATGCAAGCCCCACAGCTGTTCATTTTTGTTTAATTTAAAGTCAATTTTATGCATTGTCTGTCTTGTCCTCTGATTGAGTCCTTTTAGAACTGCTGTAGCAGTGATGAAATCCTGTAGTGGACCTGGTTTAGCCCCTGTTTAGGCTGTGGATAGTTCTATTATAGACCTGTGGTGTTACTCGGAATGCGAAATACTAAAGCCTAGGTGTGAGAAGTTGAGAACCACCCATTATATCTTCTATCATGAAACATTTGCATAGGTTTTTGTTATCGTCTTGGGCTATTTCATTTGCGCACACACACAGTCAGGACGTAATAACTGGCTGAAATGATAACTGGCCTAAGCGATGACATCTAAAGACCCACATATAGCCCACCTCTAACCTACTGTGGGTCAGTGCTATACATTTTATAAATCCAATGCAAACTGACCATCAAACCTGTGATTAATTGTTATGAATACTTATACTAACCTATATTTGCCCTGATACTGTATATACATTTTTATAGTCTATGCCAGGCATGTCCAAACTATGGCCCGGGGGCCAAATGCGGCCCTTGGACAAATTTTTCTTGGCCCTCAGGCTTCCAAGTGAATTGGCTCAAATTACCTTACATCAACTAAAAAAAAATGTATTGCAAGTTTTTTGAAAATTTACCTTGATAAAGCTAATAATTAATATTTAGTGTGTGGTTTTAAGGATCTTAGCATGAATAAAGTCTGACAGCTCACTCTAATATGTTAAACATGCAAATATTTCAATTATTCATTGCATTGAGCGTCAGTCTACGGCCCTCGATCGACCCTCTGTGTCATCTGTGTTTAGATATGTGGCCAGTCATGAAAAAAGTTTGGACACCCCTGGTCTATGCCCTGACTTCATGTTATTGTGCGTGTACAATGTGCAATGGCGCCCCGCAGTGGATGCTTATAGAGTTACAGCTCTTTTAAACTTAAATTACATGGGAGAATAGCTCGGACAACCATGCACTTATTATGTGCCTGCTCTCAGTCAGACAATCCTTACTCAGACATATACTGGCATATTAAATGCACGAATTGCCTGCGTAGTCCAAACTGCACACTGGCTATTGCTTATTTTCTATTCTATGGGCATCTGATGACTCGTTCTCCCGCATTTGTGAGACGATAGAGGATAGCTGTTCAACCGGCACATCTATGGCATCGGATGCGCAATATTCCTATCCCAGCCGCGTAACATCTTCCGGGTCGATAGAAGTTCGCCTGGTCTGCACAGGAGAGTGTCTGCAAAGGTCGGTGAAGTCATTCAGATTTATCCTTGTTACTGTCTTTTTATAGTATGCATTACTTTGGCTTGATGGATGTGCATGTAAAAAGAGGCTTCATATGTCCCTCTTTTGCAGCTTCCATTGGCAGATGGTAAAATAATGGCGGCTAACGTGGCGTTAGCCACGTTAGCTTTACCCGCTTGATTTAGCATTGAAGGCAGATAAAAAAGAGAACTTCAGTAGTAGGCTATGCTGTACTTACAAGAACCGCCTAGATAATCATGCAAAGGCAACTCAAATATCAGTTGTCTCAACCTTCGCCATATGCATTGATTTTTAATTACAAACTACTGCAAAAATAACATTTATTTTTTAGACTTTAGAATTACCTCTTTAATTTTCACTTATCTATCTTACGCTACACGAAAGTGAAGGCTTTATTAAATGGGAGAAACAAAGTCAACTGCAATCCATGAAAACTGTAACCCAGATTAAAGCATAAATAATCATGTGTTTTCAAAAGTCTAAATGTTTTAAGCATTATTTTTTAAGAAAAAATGAGTGGTTATAAGCCTATGGTCGAAGCCTAGTGATGACAGTAGTTGTTTTTACCAGTTCACTCCAGCTTAAGCCCCTCTTCAACAGGAAAACTCTTACCAGTCTATTCTCGTTCCTTTATCTCCACTTTAAATAAACAGTCCCTGCATTTTACCGCGTGTTACACTTGGAGTCTTAGTCTCTAGCTTACTTTGTATGTAACTTTTTTTGCACAGAAAAAGTAGTAGTGTCACTGTAAAAGTAATGTAGAGTAACTACTATGTTCTTGTCCACATTAGGGGAGCTGCTTCTTGTGTTGACTCCTCCAGGGGTGAGCATTGGATGCGGGCACCATGGCGAGTCTGCTTCGTGTTGTAGTGACCAGCTGCTCAGTTCCTGTGTTCAGTGGAGTCTCCTGTTTGAAACTGCAAAAAGCTCCATCAGTCAAAACTCACTTGCGCTTTTTCAGGACCTACCCTGCCTTGGCAAGATGTGCCAGCCCAGGTATTTCGCACTACAAACCAGTAATAATATATTTTGTACATTTACATAGTAATATATCTTTTATCAAAATGTATCCAACTGTATCCAAAAAAAGTTGGGGATGTTGCCAGTAATCAACATCAAATAAGCCCAGTGTAAGTCCATTTCAGATATGTCGAGTCAGACGGATTTAAACAACAAGGCAGGGGATTGTGCATGTCTGGGTCATACAGGTTTGTGTGGAGAGAACACACTGAGAACATAATGGTTGTTTTCATCACATACACTGACTCTCTAATCCACTTGGAAGTTTTTCACATGTGTGTTACATGCATACTGGGTTTGATAAATGTTTATTTTCCAGCATCCCACATGCAGCACTGCTGTATTTTTATAAAATGGAAACTTTTGGTACAGTTGAAGTGGGATTTGTATATATAGTCAATGCTTCTAATTATTGCTTTTGTAGAAGACTTCATGCAGTTGCTATCAATTGTTACTTAACTGTATGACCAATTCTTATTTTGGTGTTGTGAAATCCCGCTCCATCTGGTCACAGTTCTTCTATCTGTTAAGCTGTGTGAACTACTGGTGAGTTTGTTCAAGGGACAGACGTTGACATATCTGAGATGAGATGAGGTCAGGACCAGTAATAGCAGCCACTATCCTTGTCACATTTATCAGTTTACAAAGTAGAACCAAGTGAAAAGACTACTGGTATTAAGGTTTTGCCTTACAATATTCTTGCATTTCCTGATTAGTCATTGGGTTCCATTATTTCTCAATTTTCTTTAGATATCCTGTCCTGTCCTGCACAATAAGTTTGACCTTTGTATATAGTGCATTTTAAACTGTAAATAAAGTGTTTAATCCATGTTATTGTTTTTTGACTTTCCCAGGAGTTCCTTACAAACAACTTACAGTTGGAGTTCCTAAAGAGATATTCCAGAATGAGCGGCGTGTAGCTCTGTCTCCTGCCGGTGTGCAGGCGCTCATCAAACAGGGATTCAATGTTGTTGTGGAGTCTGGTGCTGGGGAATCATCAAAGTTTCCTGATGAACAGTACACTCAAGCTGGAGCTTCAATAAAAGATGTGAAAGATGTGTTGGCATCGGATGTTGTGGTCAAGGTGGAATTATACTGTCAACATTTTTAAAGAAATGATTAAGACATATAAATATAAACAAAAGTATTTTATGGTTCAGGTTCGTGCTCCTGTCTTTAACCCTGCCCTGGGTGTGCATGAAGTGGACATGTTGAAAGATGCCGCTACATTAATCAGTTTCATCTACCCTGCTCAAAACCCAGAACTGATGGACTTGCTTTCCAAAAAGAAGGCTACAGTTCTGGCTATGGATCAAGTGCCCAGAATCACTATCGCCCAGGGTTTTGATGCGCTTAGCTCTATGGCAAATATCGCTGGGTAAGGACTGAACACTATACCTTAGTAAAAGGTGTGTTTTTGTTGTTATGTATACAGCTTGTATTTTTTCCAGTTACAAGGCTGTGGTGTTGGCAGCTAACAGTTTTGGACGCTTCTTCACCGGACAAATCACTGCAGCTGGTAAAGTGCCTCCCGCAAAGGTTTGTGGACTTATTTGAATGTATTTTTATTTCTCAGGATATTACTATGATTGAATATTAAATTGACATAGACAGTCATTCTTTGCCTTGTGTGTGCGCTTGTGCTTTTGCAGGTACTCATTATTGGAGGTGGTGTGGCTGGTTTAGCAGCAGCTGGTACTGCCAGAGCCATGGGAGCTATAGTTCGAGGATTTGATACAAGGTTTTTGTGTTAATTTTTCTATTTTGAGAAAATGTATGAAACAACCAGTAGTCTTGTGTTATGCCGTTTATACTGTACAAATTATCCACAGTGCGTTTAAACTGTTAACTGCAGCTGGCATTCTAATTCTTACCGACCATGGTATGAAATGTAAAGTGACAAATGTGACTATATACTTTCAGAGCTGCTGCTTTGGAGCAGTTCAAATCTTTGGGTGCAGAGCCTCTGGAGGTGGACATCAAGGAGTCTGGAGAGGGCCAGGGAGGATATGCCAAGGAAATGTCAAAGGAGTTCATAGAAGCAGAGATGAAGCTGTTTGCCAAACAGTGTCAGGATGTGGATATTGTCATCAGCACTGCTCTAATCCCTGGTATGCAAATTAGCCATCACAGGTTTTCCCTTCACCAGCGGGGGCTATGGGTTGCCTAGGGCTGGCAAAGTTAAAGGGTTAATTCATGCGATTGAGCATGAATTAATGCAAATTAATTGCATAGTCTGTTTTAACACACTCTTACAGGTTTACCTGAAAGGGGGAGGAAAGATCAGTACTGACTGATTGATTATACTGTCAAATTTGTACATAAAATCTATCTGAAGTGTTGAACAGTCAGCGGCTAAAAATGCATCACTTAGGCTTACCTTTTCCAATCATTATCCTAAGAACTGACTGAACACAACTGAATACAAATCATGTTTTATATTCTAGGTAGAAGGGCACCCATTCTAATAACCAAACCAATGGTTGAGAGCATGAAAGATGGGTCAGTAGTAGTGGACTTGGCTGCTGAGGCAGGCGGCAACATTGAGACAACAGTTCCTGGGGAGCTTTCAGTATACAAGGTTTGGACATTACATGCTTGAGACCTTTACTCTGTACTTTACAGAGGTACTCTAGTAAAGTAAGTAAGTGAACTTTTCATCTTTCATTCTTTCTTCCAGGGTGTGACACATATTGGCTACACAGATCTGCCAAGTCGGTTGCCCACACAGTCCAGTACTTTATATTCTAACAACATAACTAAGCTTGTTAGAGCCATCAGCCCTGACAAAGACAACTTTTTCCTTGATGTCAAGGATGAATTTGATTATGGCACAATGGATCATGTTGTCAGGGGATCTGTTGTCATGCAGGTATTGTTTAAAGCAATGTTTAAATGCAGCGTTTCTGAAATAGTTAAAGTTAAAGTTGTGTAGCTCAGCAACTGCATGTTATGGTCACTAGATGTCACTGTAACAGTAGCTCTACAATGCATGCAAAGCTTTTTTTCTCTGGTGAATCATTCAATCCAATATCAGTATATTACAAATGGTGTGTTTGATCAGTTGTGCACTTTATTTTTTGTAGAATGGAAAGAATCTATTCCCAGCTCCTCAACCCAACAATGTTCCTGTTGCAGCACCACCAAAACCAAAGTCAGTTCAAGAACTGGAGGCAGAGAAAGCTTCACAGATCTCTCCCTTTAGGGCTACACTCACTACTGCTGGCCTGTATACTGGTGGTAAGCATTCAGGAGACTATGTTCTTTAAACTGAAATTGCTTAGTTAATTAACAAAACATTTCCATAGAGCAACATTTTCTTTCATATGTCACTTGTCTTTTGCAAACTATAATTTGCAGTGAACAAGGTACAGCTCTAAGGTCAAGAATAGGTCAATTATCAGCTTTTAGGTCAGTGCAGGAATGTGCAGAGGCGAGAAGTGACATGGGCGCACACTCAGGCACCCTGTTAGTGTCAGGAAGTGTGCATTGTAAAAATGGTGTCCCACTGCGTGTTTGTTTGAAGTGGAGCTGAGGTGTGGGTTCCCATGGTGCCACACCACGCTCTGTGTGAGTGCACCACACACAGTTAATATGCTTCACACATAGTTGAGGTACTCTGTAGTTTCCCCGCTGAACACTACCACACAGCCACCGTTTGGAGCTTGCCCTTTATTAGTGCCTGTTACAGGCTTATTAGTGTGGCACTTCATTGTCATTGTTGCATACTGTTTTGAGACATGACTTTATAATAGAGTCTGCAAAACATTCATTTTATTTGATAATGTATTCATATCCCATATTTGAATTACTCTGTGTCCGCCATGTTTTGTATGAGTTATTTTAACTGCTTTTTGTAAAAAATTTGCACTGCTTATGTTCTCTGTCTGCTGTCCTCTGTCAGGTTTGGTCACCATGCTGGGTCTGGGTGTTTCTGCCCCGAATGCTGCCTTCACTCAGATAGTCACGACGTTTGGCCTGGCTGGTATCGTTGGATACCACACAGTGTGGGGAGTCACCCCTGCTCTGCACTCTCCACTCATGTCTGTCACCAACGCCATCTCAGGTTAGTTTAATTTGCCACCTCCACCACCATAAAAACTGGCCACTAATATGCTGGTTGGTCCCCTCTGTGCTGTTCATTTAAATCCAACCACTCAGTCCAAATAAAACATGAAAAGATTGTGTCCTTATTGTCTTGACACAAAGAGGTTAGAGGTTTAGCAAGGTAGGTTTGTGTGTGTGTGTTCTCATGCCTTTGATCAGTTCTCAGAGCTGCAGTGGTAGGAAGTAACACACTGGTGATCTTATAGGTCACAAGTTCTTGGCTAGTTGCTTGTTCACACAGCTAGACATGAGCTGTGTAACTGCTATAATGGACAGTTTTCACCACATTTAAAAGTTTATTAGCCACCCTTTTGCAGTTTGTCACACCATTTTTAACTGTTCTGGTTCCATTCATTTAGGGCTGTTTTACAGTTTGACTCTGACTCATGCGAGATTTTTTTTTCAAATATTTACTCTTGCATTTTACCTATTCATGCTAAGTTACTTACTGGATTGGCTTATGGAAACATCCAGCAAAATTTAGTGGTTCTTTTACCAGGCATTATAAAAACACACAATCATTTACAGACATTAGATAATGATATTGGAATTTAGATTTTTGTAGTGGGACAGTTATATTTTTCATGGAGTCGTTATAGAGTTGCAGTCAGGAGAGCGCCTGACTGGTGGAGGGTCATGGTAAATATTGGCTTAATAGCATTTCCTCACTTTGCCATAGCTAAATATGTAATGTCTGATAAAATTCTTTTATCTAACTGCGATTATAGTAGGTTTTGTTGGGGATATTTTTGATCTTTCTTCCTTGCCAATCTTATTATGCATGTGGTGCCCTAAGATTACATTGATCTGTGCTTAAAAGGTATAACATTACAGTTTTTAATAGTTCAAATCTGTTACAAGTATGTGTTTTACATTTTTGTTCAATAAATAACATCAAGTCTAATAACACACAGAACCATTTTTTGCATTGTTGTGAAACAAAGTGAAAATAACTTGATTAAGAGAAGTCTAAATAATGTCATGATGTTGTTTGAGGTCTAACATTCTGGGTTGTACCTGAGTTGCAGCTGAATTGGACGCACACATGTCCGTGTGAATGTTTTGAATTGTATCTTACTGGCTGTAAGTCATTACAGGCCTGATGTTATCAAGGTTTCCTGGGTCTGTTTTGGTAAACAGTCTTTTAGTGTTTCTGTACCTCCACAGTCGGAAAACAATATCTTAAGAAGACAACAGTGAATAAATAAGTAATAATGTTGCTGTGCAATGATTGCTTTCATTTTCAGGTTGAGCTTTTTGGCACTGATTAGAGGTCCTGAGAGAATTTTAAAATTTGATGAATTTGATTCACACATGAATACAGTGCACAATCTGAGTGATTATTAAAACTAATTTGTGTTGTATAGGTTTAACAGCAGTGGGTGGTCTATCTTTGATGGGAGGTGCTTACAGCCCAGAAACTACTGCTCAGACATTGGCTGTGCTTGCTGCCTTCATCTCCTCAGTCAACATTGCCGGTGAGTCAGACAATCGCCAACAGATATAAATGATTGATAATTTTGTCATCTCACTTCATACAATAAATATCAGGGCTATCCCGTAAACACAGTTTTTACTTTATGTTGGGTGTTCATAAATTTGTTATATCAGTTTTGTCTCAGGCAGGCAGGCCTTACAGAAATACATTTTATTTGGGCGTATACTCTGTGACTTTGGTTTCACACACGTTTCTGAGTGATATACCACTTTATCCACAATCCCTTTGCAGTTCAATCCATTTCTTTCAGTATGTATTGTGAAACAGGCCCTTGTCATTTCTTCTCAAGAGGTAAAGCAAAACCCCCCAAAATCTTAGTACTGAGAGTTGAAGAGACAGGGCATGATACTGGAGTGCTAAGGCAGGAAACATTTATTTAGCATTGTAAATTAGGACCCAGCACCCGGAGACACCTGACAGTGTTGTCCATTCTAGTCTAGTACAGTCCAGTCTGGCTATGCTTTTGTTGTAGGGAGTATTATACCTCTAATCAGGTATGTAGGTCAAGATAACAAGAACTGAGCTGGCAGTGACTGTCCTCAGTACAGCAACACCATCCATCCATCCATTTTCTTCCCCTTATCCGGGGCCGGGTCGCGGGGGCAGCAGTCTAAGCAGAGACTCCCAGACTTCCTTCACCTCAGACACGTCCTCCAGCTCTTCCGGGGGGACCCCAAGGCGTTCCCAGGTCAGCCGAGAGACATAGTCCTTCCAGCGTGTCCTGGGTCTTCCCCGGGGCCTCCTCCCGGTGGGACATGCCTGGAACACCTCCCGAGGGAGGCGTCCAGGAGGCATCTGGAACAGATGCCTGACCCACCTCAACTGGCTCCTCTCGACATGGAGGAGCAGCAGCTCTACTCCGAGCTCCTCCCGTGTGACTGAGCTCATCACCCTATCTCTAAGGGAGCGCCCAGCCACCCTGCGGAGGAAACTCATTTCGATCTTGTCCTTTTGGTCATTACCCAGAGCTCATGATCATAGGTGAGGGTAGGAACGAAGACTGACCGGTAAATCGAGAGCTTTGCCTTTCGGCTCAGCTCCCTCTTCACCACAATGGTCCGACCGCATTACTGCAGACGCTGCACCGATCCGCCTGTCAATCTCAAGTTCCATCCCCCCCTCACTCATGAACAAGACCCCGAGATACTTGGAACTCCTCCACTTGAGGCAAGGACTCTCCACCCACCTGGAGAGGAGAAGCCACCTTTTTCTGGTTGAGAACCATGTCCTCAGACTTGCCGATCTTCTTCCCAGCCGCTTCACACTCGGCTGCAAACCACCCCAGTGCATGTTGCAGGTCCTGGTCTGATGAAGCCAACAGGATAACATCATCTGCAAACAGCAGAGATGAGATCCTGTGGTCCCCAAACCAGACCCCCTCCGACCCCTGACTGCGCCTAGAAATTCTGTCCATAAATAAAATGAACAGAACCGGTGACAAAGGGCAGCTCTGGCGGAGTCCAACATGCACTGGGAACAGGTCTGACTTACTGCCGGCAATGCGAACACAGCTCCTGCTCCGGTCATACAGGGACCGGACAGCCCTTAGCAAAGCGCCCCGGCCCCATACTCCCAGAGCACCCCCCACAGGACACCATGAGGGACACGGTCGAATGCCTTCTCCAGATCCACAAAGCACATGTGAACTGGTTGGACAAACTCCCATGAACCCTCGAGCACCTGATGAAGAGTGTAGAGCTGGTCCAGTGTTCCATGGCCAGGACGAAAAACACACTGCCCTTCCTGGATCCGACTATCGGCCAGATTCTCCTCTCCAGTACCCTGACATAGACAGGGAGGGTGAGGACTGTGATTTCCCTGTAGTTGAAACACGCCCTCCGGTCCCCCTTCTTATACAGAGGGACCACCACCCCGGTCTGCCAGTCCAGAGGTACTGTCCCCGACCGCCACACAATGTTGAAGAGGCGTGTCAGCCAAGACAGCTCCACAACATCCAGAGACTTCAGGTACTCAGGACGGATCTCATCCAACCCCGGAGCCTTGCCACCAAGGAGCTTTCCAACCACCTCAGTGACTTCAGCCAGGGTGATGGACGAGTCCGCCTCTGAGTCCCCAGCCTCGGCTTCCTCCTCGGAAGACGTGACGGTGGGATTGAGGAGATCCTCAAAATATTCCTTCCACTGTCGGACAACGTCCCCAGTCGAGGTCAACAGCTCTCCCCCAGCACTGTAAACAGTGTTGGTGAAGAACTGCTTCCCCCTCCTGAGGCGCCGGACGGTTTGCCAGAATCTCTTTGAGGCCGTCCGATAGTCCTCCTCCATGGCCTCCCTAAACTCCTCCCAGCTCAGAGTTTTTGCCTCTGTGACCGCACAGGCTGTAGCACGCTTGGCCCGCCGGTACCCGTCAGCTGCCTCAGGAGTCCCACGAGCCAACAAGACCTGACAGGACTCCTTCTTCAGCTTGACGGCATCCCTTACTTCTGGTGTCCACCACCGGGTTCGGGGGATTACCGCTGCAACAGGCACCACAGACCTTACGACCACAGCTACGAGTGGCCACATCGACAATAGAGGTCGAGAACGAAGCCCACTCGGACTCCATATCCACAGACTCCCCCGGAATCCGGGAGGGCTTCTCCGGTGCAAGTTGAAAATCCATCTGACAGAGGGCTCCGCCAGACATTCCCAACAGACCGTCACTACACGCTTGGGCCTGCCAGGTCTGTCCGGCTTTATCCTCCTCCAGCGAACCCAACTCACAACCAGGTGGTGATCAGTTGACAGGGCCCTGTGGGGGAAGGCCCGGCCACCAGGTGCTCGCCGTCGAACTCCCACCCCAGGCCTGGCTTCAGGGTGGGGCCCCGGTAACGCCATTCCGGGCGACATAACTGGCCTCTGCATTGAACTCCTCATATGGCGCTTCTGAACCGTTCTTCGTCTGACCCGTCCCTCAGGACCTGTTTGCTTTGGGTGACCCTACCAGGGGCATGAAGCCCCGAGAACATAGCTCCCGGGATCATTCGGGCACTCTAACTCCTCCACCACGATAAGGTGACTGTTCAAGGAGGGGAACACATAGTGCTGTTAAACTAGCTCATTGGCTACTTTTTTAGTACACACCATGATATTCATGTTGTGCCTTTGTATAATCGAATTAACACATTCCCAGAAACATCCGCTTAAGTACAAACATATATTACGTGGACAATTAACATCTAGATTTCCTTTTTAAGTACCTATAATTTATTTGGTTTATTTTGAAAATATTGACTGACTGTAGCACAGCAGCCTGATGCATGCATCATTGTGCTTATAGCCAGTAGTAATTCACAACACTTGTCCCTAGAAGGGCTTTTAACACACAACACAGGACAAAGGAATGAAATGACAATGACACAAGTGAGTATAACACTGGACACGAAAACACATGTTAGAAATATAATACATCTTCATTAGAAACATGTTAAGAACACAGAAACACATTAAAATTGTGCACATCCGAGATTCTTTTTTAAAGATGTCAAATTTGCCAAAATTTCATCACTGCTCGGGTGAATCTGCCGCAGCTCTTTAGTTTCTTAATATAGCTGTAAAACCAGTTCCTCATATTAAAAAGTTTTATGATGATGTTAACACAATTTGAAAATGATAAAAAAATTGTGCTTTACTAAAATTGAACATTGGTAGAATCTATTTGGTTTTTGGTTTAACACTGTTAGGGCCCAGTTGTAAAGGCCTTCGTCTGACTTGAAGTTTAATCTGACTGTCTGGCCAGACAGTGGCTCCGTAGGACAGATATGAGCGAATAATAGAATTTAAAAAGATGTGTGCACAATCAGATGTCAAGCATTTTCTTATTATCTTGAAACATTTGATGGTTTAAACTTGATTGTCTAAAATTATCCCTAAATATTTCTCCTCCAGTAGCTGATCCCCATTTTGTTGAATCTGAAGGGTGAAAGTTCCTTCATATCAGTATTATAATAACCCTAAGATCTGATATGTATTATAAAGAGTCTAAAACTGAGACTAAAATTACACAAACTGCAAAAAACATCTTATGCCCCTCTTTTACATCTTAATCTATGTGTATGCACATGCGTGTGACTGCAGTCATGCCATAGGAAAACAGACATGCCAACAGTAATGTGATCTCTCCCAAAGCACTGAGATGGAGCCTGGTCTGAGTTGAACACATTTGAGGTTTTCTTCTTAAAATATTTATATTGACACAAAGTAGATCCATTAAATTCCTGACATTGGTTATTGACATTGGCACCAGCTTTTAGATATTAGCTTTTAAACACCTATGATTAAAAAATTGGATCAGTGAAAATTATGTATGTAAAACAAGTCTCTGATTTTTCACCTGTTATTTTGTATTTAACCATAATTTAATGAGGAAAGTTCTTTTTTAGGTGAGCAACCCATACCTGCAGACAGACATTTATACAGGATAACATTCAGTGTAAACGAGAACATACAAGAATGGCAAGTTTAGACACAAAAACAGTGAGGGTTAATGATTGCATTTCCATGTATTCCATGAGCTTAATTTTTTCACAACTGTACATTTTTGTTGTCTTTTGAACAGGTGGGTTCCTTGTGACTCAGAAGATGTTGGACATGTTTAAGCGTCCCACTGATCCCCCTGAGCATAACTACCTCTACTTGCTTCCTGGTGGTGTGTTTGTTGGAGGCTACGCTGCAGCTCTACAGTCTGGATACAACATTGAGCAGGTGTGAGAGCAGAGGTTGTCCAGCCCTATCTAAGCATTATATCTAATATCTTGTGTCAGCTTAACTTTCTAAAATAAACCCATTCTTTGTCATGTTAGCTTAATGTCAGTCAAATATGTATGCTATGTGTACAGATATTGTACAGGCAATCCCTATTTGATTCCTCTCATTTACTTTTGTACATTTGCTTATTTAAACTTTTATTCTCTGTCCCCTCAGATGATGTATTTAGGCTCTGGTCTATGTTGTGTTGGAGCCTTGGCCGGGCTTTCCAATCAAACCACAGCACGTCTTGGAAATGCATTGGGAATGATGGGAGTTGCAGGGGGGATTGCAGCCACATTGGGTGCCCTCAAGCCAAGCCCTGAACTTCTGACTCAAATGAGTGCTGCCATGGCTGTAGGAGGAACTGCCGGTAAGTGTTCACATCAAATGGAGTGAGCCAGACTGAAGTGATAAGAGGCAATTTGATTGGACTAATTAGTCTGCACATGCGTATGTATATGAGAGCAACAGGTGGTGGCCTCTGTGGGTTGTTTACATCAAACACAACATGAGTAATACTGTCCAGACTTAGCAAGACCTGTAATAGTTGACATTGTAGATTACTCACGTTCCAAGAGTTTCTCTTGACAGTATAATGCTTAAACGGCTAATTGTTCCAGTAACTATCTCAAACCCAGACTAAACCATCTACACAGACAACAATGCTGTCTACTTCTTTAAAGAACTTCTAAAGCAGCCTACGTAGTGTATACCTACTCACTAACACGGAATGTTCCCAAATGGTCTCCATCAGCTGCACCTGGCTCCTATATGACCTTTTCCCCAGCAGTACTTTTATGGTATATGCTTTGAATTTACATCTACATTTTATATTCATGTATGCATCTGTCATATCTACAAAACAACTTGTGATAACACTGTAACTAGTTATATATTCCATTTCAAACATATTTATCTGATTTATTTTAGGCCTGGCCATCGCTAAGAGGATCCAGATCACTGACTTACCGCAGCTGGTGGCTGCTTTCCACAGCTTGGTTGGCCTGGCTGCAGTGCTCACCTGTGTGGCTGAGTATATGATCGAATACCCCCACTTTGCCACAGATCCAGCTGCCAATCTGACAAAGATTGTTGCTTACCTTGGCACATACATTGGTGGCATCACATTTAGTGGCTCTTTAGTCGCTTGGCAAATTGCAAGGTATATAACATTACTGCAGTATAAATCAGGCTCTGCTGATGACAAAAATAAATGAGCATGTTTTGGCAAAATTTATGTTCTAATAACTTCTGATATATGTACCACTTCTCCCAGGAATTCTGAACAGTGCTCCTCTAATGCTTCCTGCCCGTCATGCTCTGAATGCCAGCCTGATGGCAGCCTGTGTTGGGGGGATGGTTCCCTACATGCTTGATCCCAGCTACACTACAGGCATCACCTGCCTGGGATCTGTCTCTGCCCTGTCTGCCGTGATGGTAGGTACTGTTAAACCGAATTATGGTCTTTGTGGATTTAAAAAAAAAGTTTTGTCTTAAATTAAGTTAATTATAAGTTATAATTGCATTGCACAATTGCACAAAGCAGAAACTAATAACAAAATTACAATTTCATTACAAGCCAAAGACAATTAATTTAATATGTATAAATGACAAATGCAATGTAAATTTAGTCAGTAATCATTTAGTAAAGTTTTGTTTTTGTTTTTTTTGTTTTTTTAAAGGGTGTAACACTGACAGCGGCCATAGGAGGCGCTGACATGCCTGTAGTTATCACAGTGCTTAACAGCTACTCGGGCTGGGCCCTGTGTGCTGAGGGGTTCCTGCTGAACAACAACCTGCTGACTATTGTTGGAGCACTTATTGGATCTTCTGGGGCTATTCTGTCATACATTATGTGTGTAGTAAGTGTTCAAATATTATATAATTAAAACATTATTTCTTTACATCTTTTTTATTCACAGAGATATATAGTGGTATATATACACACACACACATATGATGTGCAGATTTTTAATAACTAAGGTAAATGTCCCTTTTTGCCCCACTAGGCTATGAATCGGTCCCTGGCTAATGTAATCCTGGGAGGCTATGGCACGTCTTCCACTGGTACAGGAAAACCTATGGAGATCACAGGAACTCACACTGAGGTCAATGTGGATCAGACTGTCGACATGATTAAAGAGGCTCATAACATAATCATCACTCCAGGTAAGACTATTGCACTACACAGGCACTCTACATGCACATACGCACACAGTCACATGCACTAGGACTCTTGAAAGTGAGTGGAAAAACATGATACTTTGACTTTACCATCCTTTTCCTCCTCTGTGTTAGCAAAGTGTGGGTTCTGTTTATTTAACCTTTTCTTGACCCATGTTACATCACCATTCAGCTAATTGACAAGTCATGGTAGAGCAGCCACACACGCACAGGAGTTCTGTGTGGTCGGCAGTCCCTAGTAAATAGACATTCTACAGTGCAGCATATATACGCAAGGTCAAGGGAAAATTAGATGGAACCAGGGCATGGTGGGTTTTTGTTGACAATTCAAAAACAACACTTAGAATAGGCTTGGAGAGCCATTTTAAGGGCTTAAGTGTGGGGTCCAGCCATTGTTCCAGACACATATTTGTTCTTCTCACATATTTCCATTTCCATTTAGATATGAATCCCCCAGTGGCTTATACTTGTACTATGAAATAAGTCCTCGAAGCTACTCTGACCTCATAATTGTGTGGCCTAGTGACATTTCATTGCTCTCCTAGACTGTTGTTAACCCTTTTGAAATTTGACATGTTGTTTTACTCACGTGGGTACATGTAAACACAGACTAGAAGCACACAGCCTGCAAATGAGTGCTTCCAGCAAAATTGCTGAGGGGTTTGTTATAAACAAATGCTAACTTTAGAGGAAACTACTTAAATTTGCTTAAATGGAAAAACTCAAATATTCAGGTGCTTAAAAAACAAACTAATCAAAAAAGAACTCAAAGGGGTAAAATATAAGTATAACAATTGTTTTTTGTTATTACTTTGTTTAGTTCCAGTTTGGTCATGTCATAATGTTAATAACAATGGTTAGTCTTCATTTTTCTAGATCCTCAAAGATGTTTCACAATTTCATGCATTATTTATTCATCTCTCCTCACTAGATGCAGTATGCCGGGTGTAGAGAGTTACATGTAAATGTTTTAAGTTTTTTGTGTTAAATATCTTGTTTGAAATGTCCATTTTTTTTTTTTTTTGGATGGACATTTCAAACAAGATATTCAACACAAAACACTTAAAACATTTACACTATGCATTTTATGGATGGTGTATTCACATGACATTACTTTATTTTGGTTTAATATATGGTCCTATATGGGGCCTGCTTTAAATCCCATTTTCATTGTGACCTTTAGTAACTTGGTCTGATTGACATCTGTGGAAACATTCAGATGTGGTCTGATAAATCTAACTGCTTTCCTGGCTTGGTCCAGGCCATCTCTGCCTGGTCTCAGCCAACATGTTTTTCTTATAGAATAGGCCACTTCTGTTATGCTTCTGGGTTTTTCAGTTGGACTGTAAACCCTGTCTTGATTATTTATAACCGTTATCTATAATTATAAAAAAATGCATATATTGCAACACAACTTTGATAAACCTGAACAATATTTAATTAATCTCCATTTTCCCCTTTAAGGTTATGGGCTCTGTGCTGCAAAGGCCCAGTACCCGATTGCAGAATTGGTTAAGATGCTGACGGAAGCTGGCAAAAAAGTCAGGTAATTACCTAGTTTATTAATGACTCAAAACAATCTGGTCTTTTGTTTTCTACATATCCTTGCATTACTTCATTTTAAGGAAGGGAAGTTATTGAGTACAAAGGCGAGATCTGTGCTGGAGGCAAAGACGAATGGAATAAAAATGTAAAAAGAATGGGGTAAATCTTAAGTGAACCGGAAGTAAGGGGAATTTGCCCTTCCTCACTCGTTTGATCTTGCCGTGCAGCTGCTGCTACTTAGAGCATTTGCACTTGATTAGAGGAGGAAGTGGGTGGCCAGAGAATAAAGAGAACACTACGCATCCACTGAATCTCTAATTTTCTTTATTTGTTTATTTGTTTATAGTTCATATTGTAGTACTATAACAGTCCTTTTATAAGGTACTCTATTAAGCCATTATTTTCAATTTCTCTTTATTGATCAATATTAAGAGTGTTGTAATAATATTCTAGATAAGACGCATGAGTTTAATTATGTTAATTGTCCATTGCACAGTAATGAATTCAGTTTCCCTGTACAATGTAGATGAGTGAGTGGATGAAATGAACTCTTAAAGATAGGTTGTCATTCTTTCTCAGGTTTGGTATACACCCTGTGGCTGGTCGTATGCCTGGTCAACTTAATGTACTGCTGGCTGAAGCTGGTGTCCCATATGATATTGTGTTGGAGATGGAGGAGATCAATGAGGACTTCCCAGGTTGGATTTTACCATTTCAGTGTTATTACTTTAAATTGGTTGTAATAATTGTCCCTTTCTTAACTGCTGAAATTATTACACTGATTGTATTGGAGGCATTTTTGAAACTTTGGTTATTTTCCTCTTGATGCATATCTGTTGCATCTGGTCTTGCTAATTTTCTAACATTTTCCATAGCAGGATATTTTGTAAACTTGCATTACAGAGCTGAGCTGACCATCTCAAAGTATGTTATGCATCATCTCTGGCTAAATGAGCCTTAACATAACTGGATAATAGCAATCAGCTTTTTACTAACGTCATGAGCTGTTTGCACTGCTACACAGAGACATGAGTTGTATGTATCACAGAAATATAACAAAGTTTTCTATCGATTACTTGTCTTTGTATCTCAGACACTGATTTGGTTTTGGTGATTGGTGCCAACGATACCGTAAACTCTGCTGCTCAGGAAGACCCCAATTCCATCATTGCTGGTATGCCTGTGCTGGAGGTCTGGAAGTCTAAGCAGGTGAGACATCAGATCTGTGCATGTATGATGATATGATACATTACAACACTCATCACAATTGCATGTTGGAATTAGGGCCCTACCGATATGGATTTTTTGTGTGGCCAATATGATAATGATAAAATGGCAGTTGGAGGTGCCAATAGCCGATATAAAAGCCAATATTTGTGATTTAACAATTCACTGTAAATCTTCAATTGTTATAAAACCTTGGTTTGGCTCTACTGGATTTTAAATTGGGTTTGTTTAGGCTAAATTTTTACATCATATTTAAAGACAATAGGTAGGCCTGATGGCATTTTTGCATGACATTCTAACCAGTAGAAAGTAATTAAACTACCGCTATTAGTCTTTAGCGGTGTGTGTGCACCATGATAATTAATTCTATGCGTAAATGCTGATCATTCACACCATGTGGCCATAACAGCTTGTCAAAGCCTGATCCCATCAGATCTCAGAAGCTAAGCAAGGCCAGGCCTGGTTAGTACTTGAATGGGAGACCACTGGGAAAATCAGGTTTTTGTGTCCTTAGGCAAAGCACCTCAGCCACATTGCCTGGTATGAAAGTGTTGTGTGTGTGAGTGTTGGTGGTGGTCAGAGGGACCGATGGTGTTGATTGGCAGCCGTGCTTCTGTTGATCTGCCCCAGGGCAGCTGTGGCTACAATAGTAGCTTACCATCACCAGGTGTGGAGTGAATGAATAATGATCTGTAAAGCATCTTTGTGACAAACGTCTGTGAAAGTGCTATATAAATAAAAAACTTACTTACAGCAGATAATTGCTAACCAGTGAGAAAGAATGAAAAGAAACTTCAAAATTGGCACATTTGCAACACTGATCGCTCACACAGGCACCTCTCAGATCACAAGTCTTCTCAAATAAGTTTGACAAAAACAAGCAGTAGTTTTGTTGCTGGCCTAAACTGTGCTGAAGTTCACTATTATTTATAGTCAGTATCGTGGCTCAGGCCACAAGATCATATGAGTGACTTGACCCCAGGGGGTGCATTCAGGGGCAGTATGACGTCATGCACACAGACAAATTACTCTGCAGATAAATACTGATGCAGCACCACATATTGGGACATTTATCTGTCTGTAAATTGCATTCAGTGGATGTAATATAAAGACTGTGGGCTTTATAAGGAGATATAAAGCTCATGTAGACTATCTGGCCATATCTGCAAGATTTAGGCCAACAGCCGATATGTCTCAAAGTGCCCAGTTTGTCAATATCGGCCAGCCGATATATCAGTCGGGCCCTAGTTTGAATTTTCAAGGATAGGGGCCCAGGTGGACACAGGGTCACCAAATAAATACTCCTAATTCTTATTAATTACATTATGAATTATTTGAGACAGTGTTAAGTTTGAATCATTTAGAGTGTAGGATTGCAACAAGCATACTGTGTGGTCCACACACATCCATATGCATGAACAGTTATTGTTGCTGCACTCTTAGAAAGAGATGAAGACTGTCAATAATGGCTTCTGAATATACATTTCCATTAGAATTTTTTCCCCCCAAGGCCTGAACTTTGAAATCCCCCCCCCCAAAAAAAAAAAAACTGACCTGGGCATCACTACTCTGTACAATAAAATTAGGTGATTCTTCTTTAATTGAGCTGTATGTAACCAAATCCTCTTTATTCAGGTGATTGTGATGAAACGTTCATTGGGTGTGGGATATGCAGCTGTTGACAACCCCATCTTCTACAAGCCCAACAGTGCGATGTTGCTAGGAGACGCCAAGAAGACTTGTGATGCTTTGCAAGCCAAGGTTCGCGAAAACCTGAGCCTTTAATGCAGGAGTGCTTTAAAAATCCACTCAAAGCACAGGGACTGTAGGGAAACTTGGAAGATGTTAGACTTTTTTGTCTTTTATGTCAACATTTTAACTTACTTGTATACCTCACAAGCAGATTGATAACTTTTAATCATTAGAATACATGTTCTGAATCCTTCTGAAACTGTATGAATCTAATGAAATTACATACAAACCTCAATAATGTGTGTTCAGATGGGGAGATTCCATAAAGATGCTGTTATATAGGGAACAACTTAAAATGTGTTCTGTTACCTCCTTAATGTAAATGCATTTTATGAACGTTTTAGATACTCTTATTTCCACTGTTGTTTTTTAATAATAGTAAATAGATAGTAACAAAACATTGACAGTAGAGTTTTTCCTGAGGTGTGACTGTGGCCCATTTTTTTCACATTTCAGAAAATTCGTCTTTATTGAGAAATGTTTTTTCACAGCAACTTCATTAATTTACAAATTACATTACAAATCACATAATCGAACTACACTAAACAATGAGGCTTAAGCACTTGGCATCTTTACGTATGAGGTCATCTAAAGACTTGTAACAGTATTTTGACTTAGTAGAGGTCCACTTAGCCCAGAAGTGCAGTATATTTATTCCAATCTTCTCAACCACTCTAGTGTGTATCCTCATTACTGCTCATTAGTAAAAGAAGGAATGTTATTCATAAGAGGCTGGATTGTACCTGTTCTTCTTATTAATCCATAAAAGCATAGTGTTATGATTTTTTTTTTAGTTTTTTAATTTTAGACTTTCCATCGATTAAAAAAAAAAAAAAAAAAAAAAACGCATACCAATACACATTTTCGGCTGTTTGTTGTTTTATTCAGAGTATTAAAAGTTACAACATAATGAAAATCTTTCCAAGGGTTTAGGGAACAATAATTGCAATCATTGTCTGTACTAACAATTACAGTGAGCTGGGAAGCAGTTACTGTAATGTGCTGTGTGTTAAACTTACTGGGACCCCTTGAAGTTGACCTGGGCAACTACCCTACCTCTACATATATTGATAGGACCTTTTCTTTCCCTTTGCTTTCTGACATAAAATGGATTTAATTCCCCAGTGCATATTTAAGTTTAACTTCTTTTCTGTTCTTGTAACAATCAAGCTGCTGTATTTTTGATGCTGTAGTGAGTTTCAATTAGGTTTCTGTTTTGGTATTTTTCCACACAGAGCAAGCAGCCTGTGTCATTTTTGTCTGGTAACTTGGAGTGTAACTTCTCAAGTGAAGGGAACTGATTGATAACTCTTCTCAGTCCAACATAGCCCCTTGATTTCTACTGTGAATGGTTTTCATCTGTCACAGAACTTGCTCATCCACAATAAATGTGTTACACCAGATGTTGCCCTTGTTTCATATTTGAATACATTTCAATTCATGTACCAAAACTGCTTGTATCATCATTAAATGTAAACTCTCAGTGAAGGGACTAGGCTATATATCACTTGAACCCTTAGGCTTCTTAAGTAGCATAATTTTGAGTAGACTACAATTTCTACTAAACCCACTTTTGCTTATTAGTTAAAAGGTTAAAATATTGATGCTATTCACACAGGTCAACCTGGGTTCAGTGAAAGCCCTTCAGTGTTGGTATTTGTTAAAAATAAGTGTGTAGACCAGTTGAGCTCCATGTGTAAAGGATAAAATCAAATGTATAATTAAACAGAACTCAAACCACTGTATTTAGAACAGCTAAGTGACATGCAAACAACTTTAATAAAGAACAAAATTGTCAATTTCACGATCACAGCCTAGGGCTCACACGTCTCCTGAGTTTTGAACAGTAAATAGTGGTTTGTGAGCTGTTATCACTCAAACACTACAACTTCAAGAGTCAGCTCAACTAGGTGTGTGCATGGTTTGGTGCCAGTATAGAAAAAATGACATGGCTATAGAGTAGATGTATGACAGTGTCTACCATCATCAGTCTTCTTAACACACTTGAACAGTGTTGTTCTTCACACACTATGTTCCACATTATTTTATTATCTTATTTTGCAAAAACACATTTAAAACATAAATTAGTTGCCATAAAGGAACTCTTCAGATTTTAAATTTAACAAACTTGACTGTCTGTGCATCCAGATATAGCTTTTACTGCTAACATTCTATGGCTCTAACGCTTTGGACATGATGCCTTATTAATTTATGTTATAATTTAGTGCATTGTTTCTGCAGACTATTATCAGAAAGCAAAAAGCAGAATGTTGCGCCTCAAACGAGTCTCATTTCAGCTGCCAGTTTCAATTCTGAAATCCAGTTTCTTTAAACCTAATGCCTCTGAGCTGAATGGTCACTACCTCAACTGCAGCCACTGCAGCTAATGATGAATCAGTGCTAATGCAGCCTCTGTAGCTCAGTGAGGGAATTCTGGGGGCCTTTCCATACATTAAGAAAAACTGTAATCTATCTGCAGGTTTAGGTACGGGTAAAATAGGCTCAGTTGTGATTGTTGACCTAAGGCTATGTTTACACATAGCCAAGTATGTTGAGAAACGATTATGTCCTTCCCTCCATTTTCCAAAAGCACCAGCTACACAGGCTACATCATGGCTACATACTGTTCACTGCAAATATTTGGTAGTCCAATAGACCTTTTTCTCAACAGCCAGAAGTGCCACAATGTAGGGTAAACATCACTTACGTTAATGCTTTTCTATGGCAAAATATCTGTTGAAATATCTCACGTATTTTCCCCCAGTTTCATAAATCTGCCTTCCCATCACCAAATCTTATCCAACAAGGTCCACCAAAGAATTTATCCACAACTGTGGGCGGCAGTAGTTCAGTTGGTAGAGCATTCGCCCACTGATCTGAAGGTTGGCGGTTCGAATCCAGCTCTCAACATAAAACATCACAGGTTGAGTGGTCAGATCCACTGACCCACAGGTTGGCTGGTGTGATTCCAGCTCCCACAGATGAATGTTGTCGTTGTGTCCTTGGGCAAGCCCACAGTGTCTGCGTACACTGGTGTATGAATGTGTGTGAATGGGTGAGTGGTTCCTTGTTGTAAAGCGCTTTGAGTGCCTTGAAGGTGGAAAAGCGCTATAGAAAAATGTGACCATTTACCAACTATCAAGGTAAGAAAGATAAAAACGTAAAGGCTAACAACGACTATCATTAGTGAACTACTCCTGAGCAAAACTAACATTATGATCATGAATTAAATATAATTAACTTGTAAACTCAGACTGATTCTAGAATTAAAATAAAAAATCGATTTCATGATGTAGACATTAGCATAGACATTCGACCTTCCCAAATCTCTGTGTCTATGCTAATATCTACATCATGAAATCGATTTTTTATTTTAATTCTAGAATCAATCTTGAGTTTACAAGTTACTTTTTAAGGAATTATTTGTTTTATTCATGACCATAATGTTAGTTTTGCTCAGGAGTAGTCGTTCATTGTTAGCCTCTACGTTTTCGTCTTTCTTACCTTGATAGCTGTGGATAAATTCTTCATGGACAGAATATGCCCTTTGTGGACCTTGTCGGTTGAAGATTTGGTGATGGATAAGCAGATTTATGAAGCTGGTGGAAAAAACGCGAGACATTTCCACAGATAACATTAGGGACGTAAATCGCGGCTGTAATGAAAAATGTCCATTGCAGAGCTAACTGTAATTTACAGCCTCTGGGCGCGGTCAGGACACCTCTGAGTGCATATTTTTCTGCCGTACAGTATTTATATATTGAGGTAAGTTTTTTTTTTTTTAATGTCTATTACATAAGCATATTAGATGTTTAACCTTTTTAACACTATGTTCGTCATTCAAGATGCGCTAGATAATGTCACCTGAGCAACAGCCGCCAAACTGAAATCTATTTTGTATTGGAAAACCACCATGACTATTTAAAAAAAATATATAAATAAAATAAATAAATGTAAACGCCATGCCATGTAAACGTGAATGACCGCTCATGTCATGTTTTCTCCTAGATAACTGGTAGGCTATGTATGTTTGATGGCCGAGCACAGAATGTGCCAGAGATTCCCAGATGAAAATAAACTTTGACCTCTCACTGTGGAGGACAGCAGTGAATGAAGAAAATGTACATTATTTATTATCCTTACTTATATTGTCTTTAGAAGTTTAAAAAGCAGTCTGTGTAGTCCTGCAGTTGTCTAAGTAAGATCCATAGCAAAAGAAAATTCAATGTCAACTCAAGTGGACAGATGGGGGGGGGGGGGGGGGGGGGGTGTCAAACTCATTTTGGTCCGGGGGCCGTATCCAACCTACTTTGATCCCAAAGGGGCCGGATCAGAAAACTCATGTCATATAAACCCCAAAAATAACAATAAGTTCAAATATTTGTGCAGAGAAACACAAACCTATTACAGAAATCTTTTTTAATTGATGAACTCTTTCTTATTATAATCTTATAATATTATGAACAACCTGAAACTTTAAGAAAAATTCAATTTCAACACAATGTTTTAACATTAACCTGTATGTAAACAGAAATAAGTAATTTTTTCTTGGAAAATCCTGCACTCTTTGTCCACTTTTCTCATTTTGGACATTTTGCTGATGAGGGTGTCACGGTCAGCAGACAAAACGATCGTCCTTTAAAAGCGTTTGGAAAGAGAAAAGTCTTCATTTGTGCTGCTCTGTTGGGAGGGGCCATGCACAGAGACGCTGGAGATGCTACTATGCTAAGCACCGCAGAAAATTACCAATATTTTATAAAAAAATATAATTAAAATATTTTAGTAGAAAATCACCCAAGGGCCACATTAAAGGTCTTGGAGGGCCGGATCTGGCCCCTGGGCCGGATGTTTGACACCTGTGCCATAGACTATTATTATGCTGATACGTAGTACTTCCACATTCAGTGATCTTTGTGCACGCCTACTTCCGGTGAATTGTCACTCTGGTGATTGAACTCATGATGGACGAACCAAAGTTGTTTACATATACTACATCCCTTATAAATTTACCGAAAATACCCTTTTCCAATGTGGATCGTCTCACTGATCAACTTTCAATCACAGCCCGCTCCAAAGTGGACAATGGATACAGTTTATTTTTTGAAAATTTCACCTACAACTATAAAGGTGAGTGGCTACTAGCTAACATAACTTCACAGTTGCCATTCCGACATACCGTCACTCCGATGTTGACGTGTTATTGTCAGAGTAGCAGCATTTCCATTTTTTATCAAACGTCCCTGCACTCCGACATTTCTTTTTCCTTTGGTCGGAGTGGCGGAATCCTATTATTGAAGGCGCACCACTGTTAGGCGTTACCTGACACTGCAGATGGAGGCTCGCGGTGACACGCATTTGGCTCAAGGCGCAATGATACGGCCAAGCAGAGAAACTACAAAAAACTTAATTGTGTGACAATTTGGACATTTTTGTGAATGGACAAGAGCAGTAGACATTCATTACCTGTCACCAAAGACTAGGGTGCACGAGAATGCGCTGTGAAGCTCAGTGTGTTGCGGGAGTGAAGCGGTGCCGGGCTCGCAGTCAGATAGAGGCACTAAAAAGATCAATGATTTAGGAATCTGAATATTTTCATGAATAAGTCCCTGCGTCGGTCCCTTATAAAGTCATAAAAGTTTATCAAGAGGCAGCCGCAGCGCTCATTCTCCTCGTGCACGCACTTAAAGTTGCGGACTTTTATGCACTCATTAACCTGGCACCTCCACGCGCTCTCACCTGCAGGGAGGTCAGGCGTATGTGGCCCCCTCTCGTGCCAACAGAGCAGATACCCTCCAATACGGGATGGCGGTTCTCTCTCTCTTTCTCTCTTTCGTTCAAGATTAGTCCTGGTTTAGTCCTGGTTCATCGGTGTCGGAATGGGGGCATCAAAAAGTGTCAGAATGGGGGCATATCGGGGTGGAGGGTTGTCGAAATGACGGTATGTCGGAGCGGGGGTCTGTTGGAGTGACGATATGTAGGGATTGGGGTTGCCTATGCTTTAGAACAGGGGTGTCCAAACTTTTTTCATCAAGGGCCACATATCTAAACACAGATGAAGCAGAGGGCTGATCGAGGGCCGTAGACTGGAGCTCAGTACAGTGAATAAATGAAATATGTGCATTGTCTTTATTCGTGCTTAGATCCTTAAAACCACACACTAAATATTAAATATTATCTTTATCAAGGTAGATTTTCAGAAAACTTTCAGTAAAAAAAATATTTTTATTTGATCCAAGGTAATTTGGGCCATTTCACCTGGAAGCCTGAGGGCCAAGAAAAATGTGTCTGAGGGCCACATTTGGCCCCCGGGCCATAGTTTGGACATGCCTGCTTTAGAAGAGGTAGGTTATCTTATGCTAATGTCAGTTTGGTGTATGGATATAAGGCATTTATCCAACATA